TTTCCAGAAAATGCTTCAGCTGTACTCCTGGGAAAGAACCTCACCAAACTTTTCAGGATCCCATAGGATTGAGGCATAGCAGTTAAAAGGGTGTCAAACTGCATTCATTTTGTAATGCAGACACACCATTGGATGGAGTGAGTAGGAAGCATTCACAGCTAGACTTTGCCAAGAAACCAAATACTGTCTATTTTGGCATCTGTTTTGCAGCTTTATTGTGCTGATGGTCAATATCATGTAGATGAGGAGGTATCTGTGTTGGGTGAATATTGAGTATTTTCTTATGCCTTACAGTTAGCTACTGAATTGATCCCATTTGAAGTACTCTGATATCTCTCTCTATATATATATATATATTCTTTATTCAGAGAGAGTAGAATATTTAACTGGCATAGGAGAAATTCCAGCTCTCAGCAGTGAGAAATTCCTTTGTAAAAGGAAAAAAAATAGAAAATACGGTAAAATAAGCATTGCGTACCAATTTTGAAAACAGCAGAATTGATGACATAATATTTGTTACCTGGAGGTATTTCAGCATGGAAGATAAACTTCATTAATAAGCAGCTGAGTTAAGGTTGGGTAAAAAAAATCTGAAGAGATCTAACTCATTTTAATAACTTACCTTGGTAGGTACAACAAAAGAGCACACCGATTAAGTTCCCAAGTTGCAAACACAAAAGAGAGCAATTGATATTCTTTCACATATAAATGTTAGGAGTGCTACAATTAGGTATTATTAATAGCATTAGGATGGTAATGGTTTTAAAGGGCAATTATCTGCTCTTGCAGTTTTCTACACTGTGTCTTACTACAGAGTGCTTTTTATTATACAGAAGAATCCAGAGATTGAGACTATAACTTAGAAAGGCATTAAAAGCTGGGCCCTAGTGTTGCTTCTGGAAGGCAAAAAATCAGAAGTTGCAGCAGGAAAATACATCTGTGTATGCAGTACTTGTGGATAGGTGTCTTTCAGCCCACACGCATGATAAATAGGATAATATCTTGGGGGAGGGGGGGGTTAATGGTAAACTAAGCTGAAGCATATATTTTTAATTCACCTTTATTGAGTATTTGTGTTCCATTTCCACATTGTGATACCACTTTTCATATAACAGACAGTGATACTAAAAGATGTGCTTTAAAAAATTAAAATTTAGTTTTCTCCTTTCCCTTCAAAGGCTTGTAAAGTGGATCATTGTGTGTTGCCCCATTTATCACTGTATACATAAGATCACACTATCTCTCTTCTTCAAACTCCACAAGTAACTTTACATTTTCTTTATATTGAAAAAAAGTTATAAAATGTTCCCAGTCCTTTGAAAAAGTGTCAAATGATTCCTCTTTATCCATAATCCCATAGTCAAGTATTCTAAAATAGAAAGGAGCTCATGATTGATAGGCATTTCTAAAAAGGGAGGCACATTTCAAGCAGTTTGGAGATACAATTTTAAGCATTTTCAGTGGGGAGGAAAATTGGGAGATGGCTTAACAAAACTAGAATGGATGTCTAGGGAACTGTCAACACAACTGAAATTTGCAAGGAATGTATACAAGTAATGGTAAAAGGGAGAAATCACCAAGGAGGAATTCAAACAAATAGCAAGCATCTGTAGGGATAAAGCAAAAAAAGTTTTTTTTTTGTTATGTCCACTGCATACAGGCGATGGCAAAATGCCAACAGTGGACAAAGAAGAGACAGAATTATTCAATACATGTTTAAAGGTAAAGGTTTCCCCTTGACATTTAAGTCTAGTCGAGTCCGACTCTGGGGGGTGCTGCTCATCTCCATTTTGAAGGCGAAGAGCCGGCATTGTCTGTAGATGCCTCCTAGGTCATGTGGCCGGCATGACTGCATGGAACGCTGTTACCTTCCTGCCGAAGCAGTACCTATTAATCTATTCACATTTGCATGTTTTCGAACTGCTGAATTGGCAGAAGCTGGGGCTAACAACAGGAGTTCACCCTGTCCCACGGATTTGAACCGCTGAACTTCTGGCCAGCAAGTTCTGCAGCTTAGCGGTTTGACCTGCTGCACCACCTCAGCCCCTTCAATACATATACCTACTCTAAAAAAGTAAACAGTTCTGAAACTGGAAATAATGGAGCAGATGATGTAGTAGGGGAAGTGTAGCACAGATTAGGAAAAGGGACAGTGCAGGAATACCTGGCTTCAGGTATTTCCAGGGCCAGATGAAGTATATCCAAAGGTCTTAAAAAAGTTTCAGAAGTAATCTCAGAAACACTGATGACCATATTTGAAAATTCCTGGAGAACAGGAAAAGCTCCAGCAGATTGAAGGAAGGCAGCTGCTGTCCCCATCTTCCAATCAATCAATCAATCAATCAATCAATAAGAAAGAAAGAAAGAAAGAAAGAAAGAAAGAAAGAAAGAAAGAAAGAAAGAAAGAAAGAAAGAGGACTCAAACAATTACCTCCCGTGCCTGACCTTCATCTCTATTTTTTTTATTGAGTTGCAAGCTTGGTGGTTGAAGAGAATGCTGTGGATGTAGCATATCACAATTTGAGTAAGACCTTTAACAAGATCCCCCAAGATATTCTCATAAATAGGCAAGTAAAATGTGGTTTAGAAACAGTGCTACTCAATGGATTGGGAATTGGTTAGCAGAGTGAACCCAAGGGGTGTTTACCAATGGCTCATCTTCAACCCAGAAAGAAGTGACTTAATATGACATTCTGAAGTAACCAGTGGGGTACCCCAGGATTATTTAGTATCCTTTTCAATGATTGGATGATAGAATAGAGGGCATTCTTATCACATTTGCAGATGACACTAAATGGATAAGGATAGCTAATATTTCAGAAGACAGGATCAGAATCCAAAATGACTTTAACAAATCAGAGAACTGGGGTAAGACTAACAAAATAAACTTCAAATGGGAAAAATGTATAGTATTAGGCAGAAAAGATGAAAACCATACATATAGAATGGATGACACTTGGCTTGAAAACAGTGCATGTGAAAGGGATCTAGCAATCTTAGTGGACCACAAGCTGAACATGAGTCAACAATGTGATGCTGCAGCTAAAAATACCAATGTGATTCTAGGCTGCATCAGTAGGAGTATAGTAATACTCCCACTCTATTTAGTATTGCCAGACCTCAGCTGAAATACTGTATCCATTTCTGTTCACTGCAATTCAAGAAAGATATTGACAAGCTTGGGTGTGTCCAAAGAAGAGTAACCAAAATGGTTTGGAAATGAAAGCCCTATGAGAAGCGGCTTAGGGAAAAAGAAGAGAAGGTTAAGAGGGAGCATGATAGTCATGTTCAAATATTTGAAAATATGTCATATTGAGGAGGGGGCAAGATTGTTTCTATTGTTCTAGAAACCAAGAAACAGAGCAATGGATTCAAGTTAGAGGAAAAGATTCCACTTGAACGTCAGGACAAACTTCCTGCTGGTAAGAGCTGTTCAGCAGTGGACTATGCTGCCTCTGGACATGGTGGAGTCTCATTTTCCAGAGATTGTGAAGCAGAGGCCGGATGGCCATCTGTTGGTAGTGCGTTGATTGTGTGCTCTTGCGTGGCAGGAAGTAGGACTGTGTTCTGGTGCGCGCTGGCCTGTAAAACCTGTCTTTTGAATAGGGCGTGCACTTTGTGCAGGAAGCCAGGGCGCCTCGAAAGAGAGGCCCTCAAGGATTTTCCTGTACAATAGTCTTAGAGGCTTGAAAGGTTTAACAAAGTCCTTTATTATTGAACAAATTAAACAAATATTTCCCAGATCTTCAATGAGTCAAACAAATGCTTCTTAACTTGTCTACAATGGACAGGCACCTTGCTTGGAGAACTATTTTTTCCTTTAACAAGGAAAACCCTTTTTTAACCTCTCCCAGGCTGTCTACTATCTAAGCTTTGCTGATGTGGGTTCTACTACTGGATCCAAACTGCTTCTTGGGTGCTGAGTAGGCCTACCAGTCAAGGCTTGTAGATTCTCCAGCTGGAGTTCTTTGGGTCTGTAAAGCTGTTTTCCCCTGGATGCTGTAAGGCTGAGAGGCTGTAAGCTCCCAGCCAAAGCTATGAGACTTTTCTCCTGGAAATTCTTAAGGAATGAAGCTTTTCTGCAGGTGAAGCTGGTCCATGTCCTATAGCTTAGGTTCCTTCTATAAGACTGAACTAAAAATGGCTCCCTCTCCTCCCCAGATCCCTGGGGAAAGGGGCAGAAACAAACACAACAATGATAGTCAGGTGGCTAGCCCTATAACTGCAAACCAAGGGAAGTCACTTTTTTGCAAAACCCCTGAAACCTTGGAATGCATGCAAACATTAAATAGAAAGAAAATGAAGTTGGAGCTCCTGGTACAGCCGTACCAGCACAGACTGCATGGCCATTGTGGTCTCTTCCAACTCTATAATTCTATGATTCTATGAAAGGTGATGGTTTGTTCATTTCTGCTATTTCTAGCTTTTTATAATCCAGTTTTCTCTAAGGTAAGTTCACTCCCACTTTTGAGCATAGAGTGTTCTTGCTGCTAGAATTACATAGTGTAATATTTTATTATTCAACTTTTTGTGTGTTCATTCAATAATCCCCATAAGAACATGGTTGGTTGAGCTGAAACATACCTTGACAAATTTCCACAGTTCCAGGTGGCACATATTAAGATCTGAATTGAAACCAGTAGTAAATATCTGAACAGTTAATATCAGCAGTATTCAGAATATCTACGCATGATAAAATTATATTACACATACTTCAGGCTTCCTTCAAAGCTCAAGGATTATCTATAAATTTCAGTGTGAAATGAACATTTAAAATTCCTAGGAGAAAGCTTCGGATTCCTAGCAAACAGCACCAGGAAGGCTCTGTGCTTAAGTCTGAGCTTTATTATTTAAAAAACATTTGGAAGCTAGTACCCTTACCAATTTGAATCCCTTGCTAAATTAAATTGACACTACTGCAGATTGATCGCAGCAGAAAAGAAGGCATTGCCATATATCTATCTCATGATTAACATTTGTATATTTGTCTTGATTTTTAGGAGCGACTTTTGATGAGCCTTTTGCCCAGGAATGTTGCCATGGAAATGAAGGAAGATTTTCTGAAGCCACCAGAAAGGATTTTCCATAAGATTTACATTCAGAGGCATGACAATGTTAGGTAGGATTATTGAAAGGGCTGAATGTAAAGTAAAATAAGGTCAAAGGATGATAGTTCTTTTGTTTTATTGGATGCAAATGGAGATGATATAAAAGTATTTTGAACAAGTAAATGCGGTGAATAAAACTTCTTCGAAAGATGTAAGTCCCAACAGCTCCTTGTCACATCTGAGATCTTAAGGCATGCATTATAGTACCTTGCAGATTGATCCCCAAAGTGGATCCCAAGTATCACTTTGAACATAAGCCAGCATTAGGCCATTCAAAGGCAAAAGCACCAACTTTTATGTAGCCACAAACTTTATCCTGATCTCAACAATATCACTTTTCCCTTCTTTCGCAAGTCCGGAAACCACACAACACCTAAGTCAGAATTGTATTAGCATATTATTATGAATCTTATTTCAAGGCATAAAAATGATTCCTACATATCCATAAGGCAATCAAATTGCCACTTCTTTTAACTTTTGTTGACAGTGATGTACACCATTTCAACATCAATGCACACTTCTGTTTTACTATTTACTATTGATCTTAACATAATAAATACAATATTTCATTGCATAATAGTCACTATCAGATAATAGTCACATATTCCCTTTGGGGAAGGCAAAATTGGATTTTTGCTCTTCCCTGAGTAAAAATCCCATCTTTGGGTCACTCATTCTGGCCCGTCTGCCCTCTTTCTTCTTTTGCCTCTGATGTGTGGTCAGGTGAAACTTCACCTGCTGGCATGACAGCTCTCTTGGCTCAACCCTTTGTAGCTTGGAGGGGAGAGGCTAGCAAGCAGGCGAAGTCACCCACCCAGCAGCCTCTCCCTTTCGAGTTACAGAGTAAAGATGCTCAAGAAGATATGATATTTTCATAGCATTTGCCCATGTCCAGTCTGCTAGGACTTCCAATGTTCTCCAGAAATTCTTAAAGCTCATTGCCAGAGTTTCTGGAATTACTTCTGCAATTTTTAATACCATGGATGTGGTTCCCCGGGTCCTGGAGATTTAGATTACCCAGATATTCCTACAACATATTTATTCTGTACTGCATTTTCCCTACTGTATCATCTCCTCCATATTCTCCAGGGTGAACACTGTTTTCCTTTTGGGAGAAGACTGAGGCAAATAAGATGTTGAGTAGTTCTGCCTTTTTTCTGTTCCGTTACCATTTTACATCACCTGTATGCAGTGGTCCTACCATTTCTTGTCCTTCCTTTTGCTATGGATATAACAAAAATATTTTTTGTGTTTAATCTCCCTAACAACCTTGAGTCCATTCTGTGCTTTGGTTTTTCTAACTTTCTTTATACATGTGTCAACTATTTGTCTGAAGTTTTCTTTAGTGATTTCTCCTCTTTTCCATATTTTTCTATATGTCCCTTTTAAATCTTAACTCAGTTGAAAGTTCCTTAGATATCAATTTCGGTTAATTTAAGCAACTACATTTTTTTCCTCTTCATTCGAACTGCTTGAAATTTTACCCTTAACATCTCACTTTTTCAGAAACTCCCAAAATGGTGTATTAATTTCACTGGTGAGACAGATCTCAATCCATAGGCAGGCATAAATGTAGAAAGGTGCTCCCTCAAGTGTCAAGGTCTCAAGCTGTTTATGGCTTTTAGTGTTACAGTCATCATGAATTCAGACCAGAAATGTATAACCAGTCAGTGCAGTTTTTTAAAACTGCCATTACATGCTGTCTCTATGATACCCCAGTTGGCAGTTGCGCTGCTGCATTTTGCACTAACTGCAGCTTCTGAGTCTTCTTCAAATGCAGCTCCACATAGAGCATATCATAGTAGTTTAACTAGGAGGTTACTAGTGAATAGACTACTGTGACTAAGTTAACTCTCTCAAGGAAAGGCCATAGCTAGTGCACCAGTTGCAGCTGTCATCAAGTACACCTACCAATGGAGCACATGGGCCTTCAATGACAGAGATGAATCTAGGAGCATTGTCATGCTAGGTACCTACTCCTTCAGGAGGAGTGCAACTCAATTCAGAAGAAGCTGTTTACTCAGTCCTGAACATGAGAACTGCCAATTAACGGAGACTCCATTTTATGGAAATTCAGCTTCAGTTTATTGATAATAATAATAGTAATAATAATAATAATTTTATTTCTTACCCACCTCTCCTCATGGCTCAAGGTGGGTTACAACATAGGTAAAACACATAACAATCATAAACATTCTATGAAATACATATATTAAAACATATTTCTACAAATAATCCAGTCCATTACATCCAGGCACCTGCCATTTGACTCCAATGACAAGAAGAAATGAGTTAAATGTCATCAATATGCTAATGGCACATCACTCCAAGCCCCCTTATGACTCCCCCCCCCCCCGGTCGTGTCAAAAAGGTATTGAATAGCAGGGAGGATGAAACCAGATTGGAATATGTCTACATAATCTGTATTCTTCAATATAGTCTGAAGCATGCACATGCGTGCATGCACGCACACACACACACAGGAACAAACATCAGAAATATGCCAGAGTTCCATGTCAGAGCATTTTAGATCTAAATATTTGCCAATTTTCTTGTCTTCAAGACAACTGTTTTCTTGTCTTCAAGACAAGTTGTTTTCAAGAAAAAGGGTTGCAAAGCTTGGTTTATTTCATTTTCACACAGGAAAAAATAAATTAAAATGTGTTCCTTTTATTGGGTAATTATGAGAAGTCAGGTGCTCCTTTTATATTTTATATTTTCAAGACTGAATAAAATTTGCATTTGTACAAAAAGAGTGTTACTTGCAGAAAAACAATGTATCAAATGTTTATTTTTCATGAAATAGATTTCTTGCAAAAAAGTTTTTTGATTCTGTAATCCACTGCAAAAAAAAAAAAAGAATTAATATTTTCAATCTTGCAGAAGGACAAAAATGATGTGGCCTTTGCTAGTTTTGTTTCCTTTAAAGTTATCAAGATAACTCTTTCCTCTCAGGACCAATAAATATTGAATTCTTCACATCCTGATTGTCTTCATCCTTCAGGACACCTTGTTAAAAATCTGTCAACTCAGTCAAGTAGCCCTTGACTGAGGTGACATGGGAGTCTTTTCTAAAAATCTTTTTCATTGTTGAGTGTATGTGGAAGTTTTTCACAGAAAAGGCAACATCCTCTTCAAATAATTCATCCTATTCTGAAATGTAAAGAGAGTATCGGGTAGAACAGATGATCTGATGGCTCTCCAAACCCACTTGTTTCTTTAATAACCATGGTAACCTTCAACATTAAAATGACAGCGTTCGCCAGCTAGAACTTCAAAAGATACAACAGTGTAGAGATAATAAATTACATAGAACTACATCTTGATAGAAGAGAAGAACACTAGAAAGATGTGATTATTTGCATAATGTGTGCATGGTGAAGTTTATTAATCTCTCTGCATGGCTTTCTTTTCTATGCTTATCAGATAATGGATTTATTGTGCATATTCAAAATGTGTTTATCTTAGATTTACTTTCACCAAATAACATTTCTTGAACAAACCAGAAGTACCATATTATACTCATGCATAAATTGACCTCTTATATAAGTTTAGGGCAGATTTGGGGGCCAAAATTTAGGATTTTGATACAACCTGTGAATAAGTTGAGAGCCATTCCACAAAGAGGGGAAGAACCAATGCCACCTCAGGGGTCTAGTTGCCCCTGGCCACCAAACATCATTTCCTTGCCCAAGCCTTCATAAAAGCCACAAGCACCACCACAGCAGAGAGGGTAGAGGTGGCCAGTACTTCTTTTAAGTTCTCCAGGACATGTCTTGCCTTTCACTACTCAGACAAGGGGATGGCTCCTTTTTTGATGAGTTAAGGAACAATACACATTCACTGTGAATAAGTTGACCCGGGGTTTTGGGGTTGATTTTTTAATAAAAAATTCTAGACTTCTACATGGGCTAAAACTACATGTTACATGCCTCTTGCGATGTTTGTCCAGGATATCCTTGTGAAGGAAACATATGTAATAAAGAACAGGAGTGTGGGGAAAACGTCTAGCACTTCTGTTTTCTGCTACTTTCCTCCTGAAAACCCAACTCCTTGATACTTTTAACTCCAAGTGGTTTCAAATATATGTCTATAAAGTAAAGATGGGTTTAGAAACAGGATAAAGGTTGATGGACAGAGAATAAGAAAACAAGTACTATGCTAAGGAAAGGTTAAGCAACTTTCTCCACTATTGTTCCTTTTGTGCAAAACATGCCTTCCCTAAAGTGCTTTGAAATTGAATTTTATCCCTACCTGAGTTGCAAAGTTTTAGTTCTTACTCAGAAGTTGAGCCCAACTGTCCTTTATTGGTGTCCTTCAGCATAGAAAGCAAACTTGTCTCTGCTGTGAGAAGATATGTTAGTTCATTGGATAAAATTATATAGTTTTCTCTGACAAACTGAGAGAAGTGAGACAACAGAGCTAGAGATTTGCTATTGCTTGGCATCAGAATTTGAAAGTGCAAATAGGAAGTGGATTAGATGTACCATTAGATTTCAAACAAATTTGAAGTTCTAAAGCAGGCCTACACAACTTGGCAGTAGTGAGAAGAATTTATTAGAATAGGCTAAACTTCTGTGGGCCGCTCCTCCTTCATCTCCCCATAAGTACACAGGGAGATGATTGACTGCAACTCACTGCCGGTTCTTCCCACCTCTCTTTCTTTTCCCCATCCCTTCACAGAATAATCATAAGACTGGCTTATTGCATCTTTTTCTTTTATTTTTTAACTTAAAATCTCTCAACCTGTATTTTACCGTAATAACAGGACTAAAGCCACTCTTTGGATTTATTTTATTTCTAGTCATTTTTATATTTTACTATCCAGGAAAGGGAGTCTGATCACTTTTTTTAGCAAACAGCAGTATCCTAAAGGCAACAGATATCATTTGATCATTGAAGCTAATCAGCATGAATACCACATGCTGTAGGCTCTATTTCAGAGGCACAAACTGGCAAAACGGATACAGTTTGTGCAAAAATTGTACTGTTTGTACAACCAGCTGGAAGAGAGGGTACCAGCAGGTGTGTACTAACACATTATTAAAACTATCTTAGATAGTTTCTTAGATAGCAAGAGAAAGAGAGATGGAAAGCAAGAGAGGGTTGTGTTAGGTTTGTGATTGGTTGGAATGGAAGCTAGACTGTCGCAGCAAAACTTTCCATGTTCTGGCTCGCTACCCATTACAGATTAAAAACACGACACAGGCAATTTTCTGCACATAGCCACTATGCCCCCACTTTGGTCTCCAGAAAGAATATTCTTCACATTTTTCTTGTAAAAGAAATTATGGGAGGAGGAGAAGACCGTGTAACTCCCTGGAAAAAGGACAGGACAGAGAGGGAGGCAGTTCTTGCCCCTTTCTTTAGGAGTGGGGGTGGGGCAGCAAAAAGATCCTGATAGACCAGTATTTGTCAACCTGTGCGTCCCCAGATGTTTTGGCCTTCAACTCCCAGAAATCCTAACAGCTGGTAAACTGTCTGGGATTTCTGGGACTTATAGGCCAAAAACTCTCCTGGGATCAAGGGTGAGATGTATGAAGTCTTTGGGCCACTTTTCTTCCCTTTTCTCACTGTCTGAGAGGCATCATGGAAGCAGTGGTGGCAGCAAAGATGGTGGGGAAGGACATGGAGGTGCCTTGAAAGTGATGGCTGGGAAGCAGTGAGCTTCAGAAGGATGACCTTGCTCCAGGCACAGAGGAATGCGGCAGACTCAGTACTTACACAAAGGAGGACTGGCCAAGAGGGCAGAAAAAAGCCCAAGAGAGCTTCCCCTTGGACTTGGTCACCAGGTTGACATGGAACAAGGCTGGGAAGGCCTGTAACTAACTGTACAATGGAATTGGTGTAAGAACAGCAGCTGGATAAAATGACTTCTGTGGGACTACAATTCACAGAATCCCCCAGTCAGCCTCTTCGGGCCAACCAAATTCCTTTCGGGGAGCTGCATATGGCCTGTGAGCTGTATATTCTTCAGGTCTGTTCTAAAACTTAATTTTGGGTCTGTTACTTTAGTGCAAACCCCCTACACTTTATATAATAGCCCAAAAGTATATCTGAAAAAATATCCAATATTTTTTCAATTGAGGGATGTGGTGGAGGTTTATCTGAGGTGAGCAATGGACGCTGCACATCTCTCCCTCTAGAATTTATGATGAGAAAAAAGAGCACTCCCCATCTAGAACATTATCACATCCATGGTGCCACAACATGTCACAAATATGACACAAAATGATAGCCAGCATATCACAGTGGTATGCTATCATGAAAGTAAAATGTATATCTGTTTCTTTCATTATTCTGCTCCTATGTAAATGATGTAAACTGCAAGTTGGCCACATTTGTGGTCATTCTTAAATTTCATCAAGAATTCTCTACAAAAATATGGTGGGATATGTAGACTTTTCAATCACAAAGTTTCTGTGTCTCCTTCCTTCTCTTTACAGCATATTGTTTGCAGATATTGTTGGGTTTACCAGCTTGGCATCTCAATGTACAGCTCAAGAATTAGTGAAGCTTCTGAATGAACTCTTTGGGAAGTTTGATGAATTAGCAACTGTAAGCATTTTCTGACTTTTAAATTTAATTCCATTTTATTTGTGATTTATAATCCTTTGTGGGTCTGCGGGAAGGATTATGTAAATCTGAGATGTGGAAAGGACTGTTTGCTAATCTTTTTGCTATTATAAGCTTTATATATAAGAATCATAGACTTGGAAGAAACCACAAGAGCCATCCAGTCCAACCCTCTGCCATGCAGGAACACCCAAGCAAAGTACTCCTGATAGATGGCCATCCTGCCGCGGCTTAAAACCCCCAGATAAGAAGATTACACTACACACATGTGCAGCATATTGCATTGTTCAACAACTCTTCCCATCAAGAGGTTTTTCCCCTAACATTTAGTTTAAATTCCTTGTTCTGTGTTTTAGTCTCAACAGAAAACAAGCTTTCTCTATCTTCAATATGGCGTCCTTTCAAATATTTACCCATTGCTATTATCTTAACTTTGTGTTCTCCAGGCTAAACGCTGTCAGGATTAAAATAAATAAATACACCCACATCTCCCAACATGAAGGACTATACATATTAGCATCTCAGTGTTTTTCCTCATGGATACCTGCTTTTTCTGCAGCACAGTTCTGATAGGCCAGACTGGGCCATTAGATCATACCCCACCCGTGCTGATCAAAAAGTGCAGAAGCAAATCATGGAGACAGATCACAAATCTTCTTCCTAGGCAAAGAGCAACAGATAAATTTAAAGCATCAGTGGTCACACAATACATTTAGTCTTTATGGGGGCTACAGTCCCATTTACCAATTCATCGCATTGCCCAGGACAAATCCCTCTTCCCTTCATACCCCTTTTCTCATGAGAACAACTTTGACACCTTCTGGCTTTAGTTTTCACTTCATCTATCATAAATCTAATAGCACATGATAAACAATTCCAAGCTGATGAAAAAATGTGGTATTCCTATCATCTCAGATATAAAAGCAAATGCAAGCATGATTAAAAGAATGAAAAGACTCATTTTCCTGAATACACCTATACAAGGAAAATATAAACACCTCAAAAAATATAAGTAAAGCAAGGCAGGAACCATGATACTGGCATTCTAGGTCTAAAACACATCCTAACCCCCCCCCCTCCCCAAACATGTACACACGATGCAAAACCATCTCATATCTGCATCAGGGGAATTAAACTCAGAGCTGACTTTTCAGGATAGAATGCATGAAACGTTTTTGCTAGCATATTTCCACTTCCTGAAATATTGTCATTTGCCTTTGTACAGTCCAGAGTCTGATATCTCGGAAAGTTCAAAATATTGATTTGTGACCGCTGTATGTATTTGGGGGGGGGGGTCCTGATGGGAATAAAGGTTCTGCAGTTACTTCATTCACAAATCTCCTAATAACAAATCTCTTTACATATTTCAGAGCAAGTTTTATTAACTGTTGTTGACTTTTCAAAAACTTAATAGACACTGCTTCTCATCAGCATATTTTTTATAAATGTCTTTGTCATAACTCAAACTAACTCAATAGAAGACCAGATAGCACTTACTTTGCATAACTCAAAGCTGACACAGTGTGAGGTTAGACATGCCAGTCCTGCCAAACAGCATGGGGGTCAGACTTGTTGACCCTGTACTGTTGGCAGTGGCTTGAGCTCTCTCATCCATATACAGTTTCAAATGGGGGAAAGTTTCTGGTGCACTCATTTATTGTATGCTGTTTCTGCAAATGAAACAATTTTTAACTAGTCATCCTGTTGAGAGTTCACATAACAACATAGGCATAACTCCAATACCTGATTAACCTGATTAGCCATTTCAGTCTGTCCATTTGTTTGAGGGCGGTGGGTGGTACTCATTGTTTGCTTAGTCCTCCATAGATTCAAAAATTGCTTTCCAAAACTGAGAGGTGAATTGAGTACCTCTATCTGCAATTATTTTGATAGGAACCATTGTAACCAAGATATGTGATGTATGAACAATTTGCCAACTGTTGGCCTGTAAGTATCAAATTACTTGTTCAGAGAACAAACCAGTAATACCCAAATGATCATTTTCCCTTGATTTGTAAGTCCACTGTAAAATTCATGTTGATTTGTTGATATGTGCTTATGAGAGGGAGATGGTAGTCTGTTTTTAAGAAGCCTCGGTTCAGCCCATGCCCACATGCCCAATAGTATTTAGATATCTCACAGCTGTGAGCACTGATGGCATGTTCTGAATTAATTAAATACCTGGTAAGATCCAGACCTTAATGTAAGATCTGGGTCTCACTAAGTGTGGACCCTGTGGGGATTGGACCTGTGGACCACATCACACAATTCCCGGGCCCAATCTACAGAATCATCTTGGTTTTTTGGGGCTCCTGAAGCCCAAAAGACAGAGAAGGCATCCTCCCCCCCCCCCAAGTTCCAAATTTCCCCCTAAAAGTAAAGTAAAAAGTACCTGGCCACTATTAAACTCCATCCTTGCATCCTCCTGGTACGAGGAAATGACCGGGGGGGGGGGGGGAGGGATTTTTAAAACCTGCTTCGGTGTGGATTTTAGTCGTTTCTGGAAGCACCCTTACATTGTCTTCTTTCAAAAGGATATGGAGGCCTCTCCTTCCACTTCCCTTTTTGCTGAATTGGAAGAGGACCAGCTGTTCATCAGGCTGAACTGGTGAAGAAGGAGTCAGGGCACTTCCAGATAGGACTAAAAACTGCACCAAAGCAGGTTTTAAAAAGCCACTTTGGCAGTTTTTAGTCTCCATGCCAGAGTTTGTTCTGAATTAAATTCAGTTTTACCAGAAGCATTATTTGGACGCGTCTGGTAAAACCAGGACAGGTCCCGGAATATCGGCCTGTCTCTTTTGTCTTGTGGGAGCATGGCAAATCGCATCTTCAGTGGTATGTGCCAATCCATTCCCTTTTGATGAGCTCAGAGAAAATGAGACAGTGATGACAGACAATCCACATTCACAGAGGACTGATCTGTACTGGATCCAGCCTTGCTGTCCACAATCTTTTGGCATTTTGGCAAAACTCCAGTGTATTCCTAGACTTTCCTTCGCACAGCCGTGAAGACTAGACATGGAGGTATCCAGGGGCGTCTTCAAAATTAGTGTGAGCTATTGAACCCATGTAACCAATCCCATAGTAACCTAAAATAAAACATACAAACCAACAACATGCCAACATAAAGGGGAATCATGGCAACCCCAGATGACCATCATTAAAATTTCTGGTGGTGCTCATAAAAGAGGGGAGATAATGTGATTTTATAGCTGTAAGAGGTTTTGTTTATGTTTTAAATGCTTTTAACCTCATCTAGATTTTAACTGAATGTTTATGTAGTTGTTGAATTGTTTAAGGCATTGAATTTTTGCCTCTGCTGTAAGCCACCTTGAGTCCCCTTCAGGGTCGAGAAAGGCAGGATATAAATATAGCAAATAAATACTAAATAAAATCACACATGAATTTCAAGATTCTACTCAATAAGTAATGTCCAACCTTACTTTCTATTCATTAACTGTTGATTATGCTACTACTTATTTTTACTATTGCTGGTCTTCAAATCCAATGATATCTACTTCTGCAACTACCAATATCTTCTGATTTATCATGTATTTCCTGTAAAATTAGCAAACATCATTATAAAATTCACACTTTTAAAAAAGTACTCATAGAGTTCTTTCCTTATAATCACTATTGTAATTATTAATAATTCTAGTCTTCACTGTCTCTTGTTATAAGACCATCAACTTATTATCAATTTTTGCTTTGTTAAAATATGTATAAGAGCAAAAATACTACTAATTATTAAAGTAATAACATCTTCTCATAATCATCCTAGTTACATTTCCTGATAGCCACAAGCTGTATACATTAGCTTAATGCCATAATCTATCCATCTATCTTTTATAAGATTTCCTCCCAAAATTTATTTTAACACCAGATGGATATCATAACTTTGAACCCTCCCAGATTGGTAATCCAGTCAGGATAACATCTTCTTACTGTACCATAACCCCCTGCTTCAATTTTCTTCATCAACTTTTTGTAATCCTCACTACGTTTCTGATGCCCAGATGACAGCTCCTCCTCTCTAATAATAGCACTGTAGTACAGTATACTATGTTTTTCTTTGCAGAGTTGCTTGAAGAACCTTCCAATATTGTTATTTACCTTCTTTTTTATGATTTAATAATGTTTTCTTGGGCTCTTGTACAACTTCTCAATCTCCCCTCCTTTATTAACAACACCAGAAATTTTAATAATGGTAATCCGGGATTGTCATTTAATTGCTGTTATTGCTTCAGTTTTAACGTGGCTGTCAACTTTAAGACTTCTGTTAATATCAACTCTTATCTGGTTCAGTTCAGATCTAAACAAACTGAGTCTGAAAGAATCTCTTGCTTTCTGTCCATCTTCTTGACTGATTGATGCAGAAATGTACTTCCTTCTATATACATTTTGACAGCTGCCAAAATGCTGTCAAGAAGAAAATAGGCGGCCAACTTAAATGCAACTTTGCTTTTCTACCAGAGGATGTCACTGTCTCTTCTCAATGTCAACCTGGCTAGCAATAGAAAAGTATATGATTTTTCTCCATATACCCTTCTCTCATCAGTAGATAACACTTCCTTTCTCACATTTATATAGCTATTTAAGTCTTGGAAAGAATCTTTTTTAAGTAGTATGTTTCAGTTAAATTATTATAATTTCCTTAGCTAATTCATGCAAATCTCTCAAATACAGATGTTGCTTGTCATGGAACCAGGTAATAAAGAACAACTGCTGAATACTCCTCTTCTACATAAGAGCCTTCTCCACTTTTTACTTGAAACAACCTGTTTGATTTAGTGGGCCATACACTTCTTTTGTGATGTAGTTGAATGTTTGCTTTGCTCTCCTGTGACTTTGAAATTGAATTATGCCATTCAGCATCAATATGCCAGGCCTTATGCGGGAAAGCGAAATAGCTGGCTAAAAAACCCGGGTCATGTTTCCAGGGAGTTTTTTGCTGTCATCACTTATTTATTTATTTATTTATTTACTTACTTTACTTGTATACCGCAGTTTCTCAGCCCAACAGGCGACTCAACGCGGTTTACAACAAGGATAAAAAACAATCAACGATATACAATTTAAAACCATAAAAGCATAATATACAATATTGAACAACCATAGACAACACAATACATCTCATAACTGGAGTCGTGATCCAATCCGTCGTCCAAATTTCCATTCCTGTAATCATCACTTGTGTCTCTACTGGCAGTAGAAGTGTAGGATCTCAGACTGAGACATTAGTCCTGAAATAGCTTTGATATATTTGTTTATGTCAGTTATTTGTATCTTGCCTATCAGGATCAGGATACTAATTCTTCTTAAGTGATTGACAACAGATAAGATGATGAAACAATAATAGAATCAGAATGAATATGAAAATATAATAACATGAAGCTCTGAGCAAAAACAACTCCCCCACCTCAATAAAATAAACCCACACCAAAGCAGCAGGAAATTGAAAGAAATCTCTTGTCTCCAAAACTGGCAAGGACTAAAGTTATTACATACATGTGCTCTGTCTTTTAAAAAATCACACTAAATTTCAGTAAAAGGGAAACAGAAGGAATGAGTGGAGAAATGTGAGGCAAGGGGAACTGGATGGCTGTTTACAAGGGCAGCTGACACTATAGTTTTGTTTCTTCCCACTTCTAAGTAAATAAATATGATCAAGCTCTAAATTTCAATAGGAATTGAACCTGAAAGTATTAAGCCAAAGGCTGCACAAAAGATATTGATTGTTATAACTAGGAAAATCTTCTCAGGTAATATGTTGCATGCAGAATTATACATATATTGGCACAGTAAAAATTTCTCCCCCCCCCCTTTTTTTTTTCTTAAAGGAAAACCATTGCAGAAGGATTAAAATCCTAGGAGATTGTTACTATTGTGTGTCAGGACTAACCCAGCCCAAAACAGATCATGCTCACTGCTGTGTTGAAATGGGATTGGACATGATTGATACTATCACGTAAGTTCTTTATATGGTTGCATGCTTCATAGGAAACAGAATTACTTTTGTCACACAACAGCTGTGTAATCAAGTGTCTTCTAGCATGGTGACCCTTCAAGCATTTCTTTCTCACTTAGTTTATGTTTTAATAGAGCTTTTCCAATCCATTTACAATCACCTCTCTAAGATGACCTTGGAGATAAGGCCAAGGAACAAAGTACTGAAGAAATTGAAGGATGTTTTCATTATCATAGTACTGCAAACTTTAAAATCTGTTCAAAGTGAAATGCAGCTCAGTTGGAGTTTGATAAGTCTTATATGTTTGCTGTCTACCCAGCAAACAATGCTAGAACAGAGGGAAAAATACTCATTGATAAGTTTATAAATTTTAATTTTAATAAACCAACCAAAAAATCTGGGTCTTGTTCACAGACATTGTATTTTAGCTCTTATTGAAAAAAGAGCAATCTCCTCTGAGTAGAGTGGCAAAAGGCAAGCTCTTGGTCCATCCCTGAAAAATCTCAATAAAGCACTGCTTTTGTCTACTGTATTGTTGCTCCCAGCAATATGTCCTTAAACGCATTTTAATAATGTTTTAAGATTGTCTGCACATTTCTTCCCTCTCCAAAACCTCTATCCCAATTACATGTCACCTGTTCATGCCCAGCATTATTTTTTTTTAAATTTAATTATTACATTTGGCCCAGCCATAGGTTTTTAAATGCGTTGTGTTGTTGTTAATTTTTTTTGTTGCTTATTTTGCTTATGAGTTTATGTATTGTTTTTGTATTATTGCTGTTATTGTTTATTGTTGTATTGTGGGCTCGGCCTCATGTGAGCCGCACCGAGTCCCTTGGGAGATGGTAGCGGGATACAAATAAAGTATTATTATTATTATTATTATTATTATTATTATTATTGCTCTTCTGAGGAGAAGTGTTGAACAGTTATTGTTACCACCCTTTCCCACCCAAACATTAAAAATGCCGTGAGAGTAATACTTCTTTTAGGTTCTCCTGGAATGAACTGTCACCACTCTATTCAGAGAAGGGGACAGTTCCTTTTTAATACTGTACCTTAACTTGTACTGTATTTTAAAAGGGACCATCTCCTTCTCTGAATACCATGGCAAAAAGGACCTTTTTGAAAAGCTGGACACGAGATTGGTGGTGGCTGAGGCTGTGCTGGTGCTTTCCCCCCTCCAAAGAATAATCTGCAATTTATCTCATATCAAAATACATAATTTTGGCCCAGAATCTGCTCTGGGCTTATACACGAGTAGATATGGTTTCCAGACATCTGGAAGGTCACCATGCATGGCCCGTATCTTACATTGTGAGTCAGAGGTTTCATAGACCTGCCCATATTTTAATTTCTCATACAAGTAGTCACTAAACAAATAATATGAAAAATGTATATTTTTCCAAGCCTCTCATTACTACTTATCAATATGGGCTGCAGCCTCCAAGACTGGAGGGAATTCTACAGCATTTCTCCATAATAACCCTTGATCTTTTTACTCTCCTCCCCCTTCATATTTCTAGAACACAAGTCATAGAACATGCTCCTTTTTCTTTTTACTCTACTCCCGTAATGCCCACTGGATTTTCTATTATACATTCACAACTAAATATGTCACCTAAGATTGTTCTTTATCAATGGAGCATTAGCCTATTCAGAAAGCTGTACAGAGGGAAGGCAGAATGAGATGAACATGATTTTACACTAACAGAGAGAGGCTCCATTTAATAGTAAGAGGGATTTTTTTTGCCTTGAATCTGGGTACGCCTGTAGACAGCTCCACAGATGCACATCTTCTGCCGATGATACCCCACGAAACAAGACATGGAGACTAGGTGGATCAAACAGGTAATCCTCCTCTCATTGTTTTTTTTCCCCTGATGGGGAGTTTTAAAGTAGAGAACTATTAAGGCTCTTGAAAGATAAATCCCAGTTAACCTCCTGAACCAGTGAGAATGAACTAGTAGGACTTTAGATGTTCTGGAATAACTACCACTTGGTTCTCTTGCACACAGTTCAGAATTGCTATACCCATCAGCTTCGGTTTGTGGCCATTGTGCTTGAAAGTTAAAAGTAGTGGGCAGGCATTGTAAGGAGCCATTGTGCTGTTGAATTTCAGCTGCAAATATTACAGTTCTTGGTTCATTCTAGGATAAATGTGCAATATTTTCTTTATCTTCAACAACAGTGATTGTCTTGATACATGTAAACATTCATTTTTTACAATAAACAATGTTATAATTTCATATTTCTATACCTTTTGTGAACATTTTGTTTGACTTCACACAAAGGCAAAAAATTTCATATTTTTAGTTCAGAAGAACACTATACTATGTGGAAATATTTATTTATTTATTTATTTGCAGCATTTTTATCCCACTCTTTTCAGCCTGAAGGCAACTCAGGGTGGCATACAGATTGGCAACAATTAGATGCCATAAACATAGATACATATCAATTAAAAACATTTAATATCACATAATAAAAATCCATATAAAAACTAATTAAAACTATAATAATTGGTGTCTACCAATTTGACTCCTTAACCATTTGCATCGTCTAAGCCATTCTGTGTTCATTATTTCATCATACTGTATTTATTTGGTAGCCGGGTTACCAAAAGCTTGCTCAAAGAGCCAGGTTTTTACTCTTTTCCAAAAGATCAGGAGGGAGGGGGCTGATCTAATATTCCTGGGAAGGGAGTTCCACAGCCAATTGGCCACCACTGAGAAGGCCCTGTTTCTTGTCCCCACCAAGCATGCCTGCAAGGAAGGCAGGATCAAGAGCAGGGCCTCCCTAGACGATCTTAAATTCTTGGATGGTTTGTAAGAAGAGATACGTTCAGACTGGTAAGCTGGGCCGGAACCAAAAATCCCAAAATGTGCAATCATTGCAAACTATGGTATGTAGAAATTCTTAAGTTATGTGCAGTGGTGAGAAAGCTTTTGAAATTCTTCATTCTCTCATGCAAGAAGAAAATCAGCAATGGTTTACATACCTAATATGACACAGATGGACAGAGAAGATTGATATGAATCCGAGTACTTAGAAATTGATGTCTTCTCTTCTCAATTGGTGAATTTAAATAATGTCTTGAAAGCAATTCTGTCTCAAATTGTATTTAAAGGCATATTTTCTCATTTGCATGACAGATTAAAAGAAAATTTACTAAAACACTTTCAACACCTATTTTTGATACCAATACTCAATTTGTTGTCACTGCTCTCAAAGCAAATATGCATTAGTAAATTGGTAGATTTAGGGTATAAAAATGTAAGTAAATAAATGTCAGTAGGAAGGTAAAAACACAAGTGATGTCATTTGACAGTATGTCAGTCAGTTGACTGAATGAACAGTGTCTTTGAAAAGAGTATACTTCAGCACAACATGAGCATTTTCCTAGGGAGAGAGAGGAGGAAAACAGAGTGCAAAGAAGATTGTCCTGAGCTCTAAATCACCTTTATAAGGGCTTTATCCTCCATCTTCCTAACTAGTTACCAGCAGCTCTTTTTAGTCCTCATAAGGGCTTTTCTGATACTCCCCTGACTGGTCCACTTGCTTGGGCCTTCTTCTTCACTGCTACCACTCCTCCAACCTATGCTGATGCTTGCCACTTCTCCCTGTCATATTTCTACCACCATTTCTGTCCTCTGCCTCTGTTCTCTTCTGTGTGTCCTACTGGGCTAGCATTTATAAGGAAGCTGCTGAGTGAATGCTACCACAGGAGCATATATACCCCACACCAACCCAAGTGTTCTGTCAGATACTCAGGCCAGAGCCATCAGTCAAGGAGGTCACACCATTGACTTCATTCTCACATTCACCACAGCCAGATGTAGTGCACAGATCCTTGGATAGGAGACCACATGCCCTGTGTGACCACATGGTGGCATGCTGGCTCTGCTCTGCCTCAACTGCAGTAGGGTTGATTGATAAGTTGGGTGGTCTAATTTACAGCATTTTATGTGCAGGAAACAGCATTTTATGCATGGAAAACACTTCATGCAAAGTTGCTCTGACTAAGCCCTGAACTGTAACTAGTTTTTAAAAAGTACATCATAGTAATATTTAGAGAATATCTGAGTGAAATAAGCTTGATCATTTAAAATAAAAATATAAAATATTAACTGTAACACAGATTTTAATACTTCTAAATGGTCTGCATATTGAAGTTTTACTAGATACCGAGAAATATATTTTCACCTTTTGTGCCTAGGGTAGAAATTTTAGTTTAGGAGAGCAAAGTAAAAGGATGATACATGCATTGTCCATTCTCACATAACTGCTCTAATTTTGTGTGTTGCAGATCTGTAGCTGAAGCCACTGAAGTGGATCTGAATATGAGAGTTGGCCTGCACACAGGAAGGGTGCTTTGTGGTGTCCTAGGTCTTCGCAAATGGCAGTACGATGTTTGGTCAAATGATGTGACTCTTGCTAATGTAATGGAAGCTGGAGGATTGCCTGGGTAAGTGTCATGCACAGGAGAAAAAAACTTCCATTCAGAAAACAAAGTTCTCAAAGTGAAGAAACACTGTTTTAAATTACAGAGTTGGTAACCATAAAATGAAGCTATTTTACCAGTTACTACTCCCTAATACAGGTGCACAATCAATCTGCCAAGCATACAATTTTGGTGGAAGACTTAACCAGTCATCTTGTTGGGAATGTACATAGCACAGCAGGTACTGCTCCAACAGCTGGTTAACCCTTTCAGGCTGCCCATCTCGCAGTGGTTCTCAACCTGTGGGTCCCCAGGTGTCTCGGCCTACAACTCATAGAAATCCCAGCTAGTTTACCAGCTGTTAGGATTTGTGGGAGATGAAGGCCAAAACATCTGGGGATCCACAGGTTGAGAACCACCGCTGTTAGAGGGTAATAGGCAGTACTCAAAGATTTTTCACCAATCCTTGTTTCTATAAGAAGCATTTTCTTTCAAAATTCACTTATCATGGGACAGAAAGTGAGGTGAAATCTTCTGAACAGGGACACAGATAGCAAAATAAACACCACAGGGATATTAACCCTTCCTTATGCTATCCAAAGCATCTATCTATCTATCTATCTATCTATCTATCTATCTGGAATTACACTTTTAAAAGTCCCTGTTCCGACTTACATACAAATTCAACTTAAGAGCAAATTTACAGAACCATAGATGCAGGCAAAACATCAGGAGATAATGCCTCTAGAACATGGCCATATAGCCCGAAAAACCTACAACAACCCAAAACCTATTTTATTCCTAATTTGAGGACTTTCTATATACAAAAGAAGCTAACACATCTGTGTTTTCCGGGCTGTATGGCCCTGTTCTAGCAGCATTTTCTCCTCTAACATTTTACCTGCTGGCATCAGGCCCATCTATATAGATGCAAGGATTTCGGCCAGATCTTGTAAGTGAATCTCCATTTCACAGCTAAAAGTTGTCACAGTTGTGGAAGGTTTGTATTGGCACTGGTCTCCAACTCTTTTTCATACCATTGAAATCTAATTGCTAACGACACTGTAAAGGGTGTATTTGAGGGGTCCTTGTTTCGGCCTGTGATGTGTCATCAAATACCTCTTCTTCATTTTTCCTGCATCCGCCACCCCTTCTCTAGGAAAGTGCATATAACAAAGACCACATTAGAGTGCCTAAATGGTGACTATGAAGTTGAGCCAGGATTTGGCCATGAAAGGAACAGTTTTCTGAAGAAGCATAATATTGAAACCTTTTTCATTGTGCCATCTCACCGAAAGAAGGTATGTCTTTATTTCTGGATGATATCATTTAATAAGGCTTAGACTGTTATAGTCAAATAAATAGTACTGTGAAATTATAAGCAGCTCACAAATATTTACATTTGATAGATGCTCCTCAAATAATGTGACCTGAATTGAATGGGAAATAGAAATTCTGGTGTTGAAACACCATATTTAAAAAATAGTTGCTTTTCACTGTTGGAGAACTGGAATGTTTTTATTCTAAAAGTTCTTTACCAAAAATAAAACAATGGAAATATACCAGAAACTGTCAACAATTTATAAATATCTATTTTTCTTAGACACTTTAGGACACACCTTAATGTAGAACACAACATAAACATGAAGGCAGAAAAAGTATTTATAATGTTCTGTTGCCCATAGCAATAGAGTGTGGTGGGATCATTAATGCTTGAACTACCATAATCTGAGAGGACTATCCATGTTAGCAGCAGAAAGCAGGCTTATTTATCTAGGTCAGGGTACTGGGCTAGAGGTGAAAGTCTGCCTTGTAATGAACAACACCCATGTTCTCGATTATGGGATGCCAACTAGCGGTGAACTCACTATTGATAAAGAAAAGATAATGCTCCCATCCTGCACACCTGAGATTAGGCTGATGATAATATTGGGATAGGGCTTCATAGATGGATTGCTAGAAATAGAAACTTAGTTCTCTTGCTCCATCACTCCAGAAAAAGGAAATACACCATTGGATCCCCATTTATGCTTTTGTAAGCAATGCAGAGTGATACTAGGAATTAATAGGGAGATAAGCAAATGGGAAGTGGACGCTTAATTCTTATTCTACCTCATACCTATGTTATTTTTTCTCAATTGCACTATGATTTCAGAAATAATTGCAGATGGAAGGAAATGTCCTGGGATAGATACTTGCAAGGGAAATTCAGATATATGAGAAAGGGATGCAGCTCACCAGTTCCCTTCTGGAAACATCTTCTGAATATAGTTCAACCCAATTTCAGTCAAATACGTGCTATAATATTATAATACATCAAGGAGCTCAACAGCAGGCAGCATGATTTTTTCCTGTTGTTAGAGGGAAATTCGTTTTCATATATGAGATTCAATAGACAATGCAGTCCTTTTACACATTGCAATGAAGAGAGACATTCTCAGGAACAGCGCCTTATTTTAATTTTTTCTGCACAACTTTAAGGTGTTCTATTTGTTGTTCATGTTACATTCAGACTTGTACAGAGACATTCTTTAGATATTTTCAGGAAGTAGGAATTACTTGAGCAAGTATGCAAATAACTTTTAGAAAAGAGATTGTCTTTTAGAGCACAGATGGCTGACAAAGTTATGTCTTTTTGGATATACTAATAAACAATTTTGTGCACTGATAAGATATGTAGAAAATATATTTTCTCATCGTTATTGTGGTTATGAGGATAAATAGGAAATTATGTCTTTTAAAACCCAGGTGAAACAAAAATATATCCAAAACAAAGAGAGATCTAGCTCTCCCCCCCCCCCCCGCCCCTTTCTCTATATAAGGGCCAACTGAAACAAAAAGAGAATTTTGTTCATATCTGGAAAGAGAGAGCTGATTCAATAAAACAAACAACAAAACTTTATTTATATACGGCTATATCTCCCCAAGGGGACTCAGAGCGGTTTCCAAGTAACATAATCAATACATACAAAGAAAACAGCATAAACATAAAATTAACAAGACAATATAGGTATTAAAAACCACAATAGTACATATATTTAAAATACTCCTGTCTGTTCAAGACAGTTTCAAAGGCTGGGCCGAGCTAGTGCAATTTTAGAGGGCCTGGGAAATAGGTAGAGTCTATGGCTGTACATTTCCAGGACCTAATAGGAGAAAGTGACCTGGGTAATTGGTAGAAAAAGATATGGCCAATTTCAACAGTATCTGGGGCAGAGCTAGAACTAGTCATTCTCAAAGGTTTGTTTCAACCACCAGGTCTTACGAAAGGGGGGGAGGGATGGAGCCTGTCTTATTTCTCCAGGAAAGGTGTTCCAGAGGCAGGGGGGCCACCACCGAGAAGGCCCTCTCTCTCATCCCCACTAACTGTGCTTGTGACAGTGGTGGGAGCAAAAGGAGGTCCTCCCTGGAAGATCTTAAAGTTTGCGCCGGTTCATAGAGGGAGATGCGATCGCGGAGATAGGTGGGGCCCAAACTGTTTAGGGCTTTATAGGTCATAGCCTGCACCTTGAATTTGGCTCGGCAACTTATCAGCAGCCAGTGAAGCTGTTTTAAAAGGGGCGTTATATGATCCCTATAGTTTGCTCCAGTAAGGAGCCTGGCTGCCACCTGTTCTACCAGTTGGAGCTTCCAGGCCATCTTCAAGGGCAGCCCCACATAGAGCACATTGCAATGGTCCAATCTGGATGTAACCAAGGCATGCAGCATGCTGGCCAAGTCAGACTTCACGAGGTATGGTCGCAGCTGGCGCACGAGTTTAAGTTGTGCAAAGGCCCTCCCAGCCACCGCCGACACCTGAGCATCAAGTGACAGCGTTGAGTCCAGGAGGACCCCCAAGCTACGAACCTGCGCCCTCAGGGGGAGTGTAACCCCGTCACACACAGGTTGCCATCCAATACCCCAGTCAGCCCCACACCTGACCAGGAGGACCTCTGTCTTGTCTGGATTAAGCTTCAACCTGTTAGCCGTCATCCAGTCCATGACAGCAGTCAGACACTGGTTCAGGGTCTGGGAAGCTTCCTTGGAGTTTGGTGGAAATGAGTAGTAGAGTTGGACATCATCTGCATACAGATGGCACCCAACTCCAAAGCTCCGGATGACCTCACCCAGTGGTTTCAAGTAGATATTAAAAAGCATGGGGGATAGAATAGAACATTGCGGGACCCCACAGGTCAAAGACCACGGGTCCGAGCAGGTATCCCCCAGCTTCACCAACTGGGAGCGACCCTCCAGGAAAGAGCGGCGCTACTGCAGAGCAATGCCCCTAAGACCCATTCTGGAGAGTCATCCCAGAAGGATACCATGGTCGATGGTATCGAAAGCCACTGAGATATCCAGAAGAACCAACAAGGACACACTCCCCCTGTCAAGTTCTCTTCGGAGGTCATCCACCGAGGCGTCCAAAGCCGTCTCAATACCATGGCCATGTCTAAAACCAGACTGCGATGGATCTAGATAATCAGTGTCGTCCAAGAATCCCTGGAGTTGGGAGGCAACCACCCGCTCTAGAACCTTGCCCAGGAAGGGGAGGTTAGAGATAGGCCGGTAGTTGTTCAGGACCGAGGAATCTAGGGATGCCTGATAATAACTGAAACCATTCTCCTTTGTATTTGGAAGGACTGCATGCTCCCTACAGAGGGGATCTGCTTCTACAGCCTGTTATCACAGCATAAAAGTGAATAGCAACTTCTCCATTATCACGTCAAACACTGATTTATTGAAGTGACAGATGTTCATGTTCTACCTGCCTAAATGTATTAGAGCTCAGCTATGCATCCATGGAATGTCTGCAAAACCGGTGGGGGGAAATGCTTCATGAATGTCACTTTTACATTAGCTGGTTCTTCCACTGGGCCGGCAGATCACTCATGAGGTCACTTACTAGCACATGCCATGCAATGAAGCTTTTCATAGCTCTTGTGTACTTGCATACTGATTATTATTCCCCTGCAATTGTTTCATATAAATTACTTTTATCATTATCCCCCACTTCCACAGGGAATTGAATGTAAGGAGAAAGAACCCTCTGAAATAAGAAAGAATAGAGGAAACAAGACAACAAGAGAAGCCTAAACAATTTCTCATTTATCTTTAACAAGATGCAAGAACCGTGTTTTTTACATTTACGTTACTTGCTAGATTAATATTGCATCACTTCCCCCTAGAGTCGAAATGCTGGAATGTGGTCACATTTTTTATTCTCTGTTTCTCATTCTCTTTGACATTAATGTGATCTGGCTTTAGCAAGACACCAAGAAAAATAAAAAATCAATGTTAGCAGCAACAGATGGTTAGAAATACATTGCATTTCCCTGGTAAAATGCTTCCACTTTGAATTTAAAGAATGCACCTTAGTTTCTCATAATTTGGCCTGACAGCATATGATATATGAAAGGTTTTTCATGTACCATTTACACTTTCAAATGAGAACAGGTTCTAAAATATTCACAGCTTTTAAATATTTTATTTGATGTCTGTTACTATCCAAGCATCAGAGATGGAGCACTTCATTATTAATCTTCGTAGCTTTATCAGCACCTTTAAGAAGAGCTTGGATGAAGGAGGACTTTCTCCTCATCCTCACATTTTTTTTACAGTTATTTTAATTTGCTAAAATTAAGATGGAACCTAACCGGTATATCTATATGAATAAAAATGTAATGTTCGTTTGTGGGATTAACATAACTAAGAAAAACTGGACAAATTGACACCAAATTTGAACACAATACACCTATCAGGCCAACGAGTGACCATCACTCATAAAAACACTAAAAACCAAGCAGAAGAGACTACAAAAAAACCAAAAAATACATTACAACACATGTGCAAAACCACATATATACACATCACACATATATACACACACAAACACATATACACAGACTGGGTCACAGCAACACGTGGCAGGGGACAGCTAGTATAATATAAAACATTAGGTACCTCACATGTCAAGTCCCAACTACACTGCCATTACAAAGCAGATTGAACTGGATTATATGGCTTTGTAGATGCGGCCTCCGATTACTATCAGACAATAGACAGTGAGAGTCATTAGATATTGTAAGACTAGAAATGCAGAAATATTTGTTTAAAATTTTTTTAAAAGGTTTCCTGATAATTGGGAGGCCCCATGGGAAGACTACGTAAAAAAATTGTGTAATTTGTGTAATTTTCTCCTAGCATTCAAAAATCTGAAATAGTTATTGTGCAGGAAAAAAATGTATTTATTTATATATTTTTCTGCCGCTTTTCTCCCATGGGTTAGACTCAAAGCAGCGAACAATAATGATAAGAAATTACATGACACAAAAGCAAGATAAAACTGATAACAGATAACACAATTACATAAACCGTAGACAACAAAGCTAATAAATTCAATGCGTTCCACTAAAATTCCCTAAATATGTGGGGATTTGGTGGTTCCTGTGCAGAAAACACCTTCATTTGCAGATAACCCATTTTCAATGCAAAGTTGATGACAGTAGGCTGCAATCTCAAACTCCTGTGTCTTCTGTCTAGTGAAAATTCTGTATCTTTTTGAAAGAACTAGTCATTTACAGAGACATATATAAGTCTGAGAGTTTTTTTATTTGGGTGTTTGTATTTCTCTTTTGTGTGATAAAATCAAACCCAAGGCAGCTAAACTTAACTTTTCCAATAATAATATAAATATAAATGATAACAAAATGAATTCAACGTAAAAACAGTTTGAAGGCATCACTATATAATATAAATGTTATTAACACCACAGCATAGACTAAATACATATCATACACAAATCTAGTTTGTCGTTTTCATTAAGAAATCAGTTTCTGCTGAAGTACCAACCATTTGAAACACTGCTTTTCCCTCTCTTGTATCCCATGCAATGATTTTTAACTTGATCAAGGGGAAGCTCCCTGAGAGAGGTGTGAGGTGATGGTTCATGTTCTCTGTACGTTTGCAAGCAATAACTCAATTTTTGTTGTTTTCCGGGCTGTGAGTTGAAATAGAAAGTTAGTTGATGCCATAAATATGTGCGAAGCCGTGACTCCCACCGCTTGTTACTAAAAATTTAAAACCGTTCACTTGCTGCCACCAAAATATGTGAGGAAGTCTCCAAAATGAAATAATGGTGTAAAATCCCAAATAAATAGGATCACCACACAGATGTAATAAAGATTTGAGACTTCTAGCTTAAATTGCCACCATAATATAAGTGATATTGGTAAAAATGATCTCTGGTTATCCTTATCTGTGTTGTGAGGCACCTTGGGTAGTGTGGAATGCTTCAAACGTGGAAATCAGTGAAGGAGGAAAGTTTAAAACACAAAAAGAACAGGTTTATTGTTATCAGAGCGTAAATTGTTGCAAAATTAAACTGTTGAACTTGGCACAAGCTTGATGGATACAAAATGGCTTGGTTGAGTTACATTAAGTCTTCCGATGTTACAATCCTTTAACTCTTTCTACAGTGAGGTACTTTATTATTTCAGTGTTCCCTATTGTGAATATTTACAACTGTTTGTCCTTCACCGGATCAAACCAACGATCTCCAGATTTTCACCACTGGGATCCCTGAAACCCTTTCTTGTTAGATTCTTTTCTACTCAAGCAATCTAATGAGTTTCCACCTTCAGCTTCCTAGCTGGAATAATATTCACAAAACCTAAGAACTAACTGAATTTACACTACTCCACAGAGCCTCCTTGACTCTGCTACTCTCCTCAGGGTCTCATCCGCCTGACTGAAAATAAACTGTCGCTTTCAAACCTTTTTTACCTAAGCTCCGCCCACCTCCTCTGGCTTGTCACCATGGCAACCTATCTCTCTCTCAGCTAGGCCCTGGCCACAATGTAAAGCCTAAACACAGTTTGAAACACAGTATAATGAACACTTCTCTACATATGGATGCTGCTTTCTTACATACTGTATAGGGAAATATCCTGAATAATGGTGGGTATTCTCAACTGTGCCCATGTTTCCTGTGCAATTGGCACAAGGACAGGGTTTTACTTACTAGATTTCTGTGTGATGGGTTGGTAGAACAAGGGCACAGATATTTGTAAAAAGGAAACATAGTAACCTTTCTTTCAGAACATAATCACCCTTCATTATTTTTCCTTGTTTCTTAATTCAATGAAAGCTTCCCTTTTGTGTCCAATAGACATAACAGGCATTCGGATCTGGACTGCAAATCTCTAATCCTGTTAAATCACACCATGTAGCATTTTTTTAAAAAAAAAATCTGTTCTTAGTTTGAAAGTGTTATTTAATTGTGTGATACTTACTTTGGAAGTAGTTGTTATACTCCAGAAACTTTTTTTTTTTTTGTGGCTGCCACAAAGTGTTAAGATTATGACAAGATGTTACAGAGTGTAATAAATATAGGTGGGACATACTGAGGGCATTTCCCACCTTTATTATGATTGTAATCTCTTTGATATAGCGGTTTGTGTATCTATTAGGTTTTTGTTTTGTTTTGTATTTTTTGTTTTTTAAAGTCTTTGTATTAATATCCTTACAGATTTTTCCCGGACTTATCCTGTCAGATATAAAGCCTGCCAAAAGAATGAAATTCAAGACTGTCTGTTACCTACTGGTCCAACTCATGCATTGTCGCAAAATGTTCAAAGCTGAAATCCCTTTCTCCAATGTCATGACTTGTGAAGATGATGACAAGGTAACACATGCATTCTCGTTTAGTGATTTTTGTCATTTCTTGTAATAATAATAATAATAATAATAATAATAATAATAATAGTAATAATAATCTTTATTTATACCCCACCACCATCTCCCTGGAGGGGACTTGGGGGCATACATGTCCCTTTTAAATCTTAGCTGAATTGAAGGTTCTTTAGATATCCATTCTGGTTTCTTCAGACACCTCCTATTTTAAGTTCTCACTGGAACTGTTTAAAATTATGCCTTCATTTTCTTTCTTTTCAGAAAGTCCTTTTAGTATTCCTGACCAGGGCCATAGCCAGAAAAAAAATTTCGGGGAGGGTTGACAATTTTGGGGGGGGGGATTGAAAATTTCGGGGAGGGTTGAAAAATTCGGGGGGGGGGGGTTGAAACCTGCCTCCTAGCTCACGCTGAAGCAAAGAGCACAGCAGGGGGCAGAGCAGAATTCAATAGCCTGCAGCTCCGCCCCTGTCAACCACCTCCACCAAGTCTGGCCTCCTTAATGAGAGCATTCAACACACACACCCAACTTGGTTGCTTCACTACATCGGCTATTGCTGCAAGTAATGACAGTGTGAATAAATTGTCAATATTTGCTTGAGATAGTGCTTACAGTTCTGGAGGGACTCTTAATTTTTTGCATCTCATAGACTTAGCATGGGGATTTGGTTAACCAGTTAAAATTCATGAGTAAACCAGGTTTTTTTAAAAAAAATCTGGAACATTTCGGGGGGGGGGGTTGAACCCCTAAAACCACCCCCTCGCTACAGGCCTGTTCCTGACCATATGATTACACTTGGTTTTCCCCTAAGTTTACTGAAGGCCACTTTCCTAAAGTCTGGAATATGTCTCTGGTTGTGCTTGACTTCTCGTTTCCATTGTATAACAAACTCTAGAAGAACATTGTCACTCCCGCCTAAGGAACTTACAACCATCACCCCATTTGATTAAGATCAGATCTAAAATATCTCGAATATCCCACATCTCAGTTACCGTAATGATTGTGGCTTGAAAAATAATGTAAGTGTATAAGTAAATGTTATGTATAAATTAAATTTATGTACCCCTTTTGAAACACATTACTTTTGCAAAAACATTTTCATTTTTCTACAGAGAAGGGCATTAAGGACAGCCTCTGAAAAACTCAGGAATCGTTCTTCTTTTACTACAAATGTTGTGCATAATACTCCTGGAACCCGAGTGAACCGATACATTGGTCGTTTGATAGAGGCCCGACAAACTGAATCAGAAATGGCAGATCTACATTTCTTTACCCTGAAGTACAAACAAATTGAACGTGAGCAAAAAGTAAGTGATGATTTTAGTAACTTTATGAACCAAAGAAAAGAGATATAAAGCTTAAAAAAATAATCTTCTCTATACCCTATGTCTCAGCTTTAGTCTTTTCAGAGCATTCCCCAACTCCAACATGAGCAAGATTAGGAGCATGTTGGTTGTTCTAGTGTGCCTTCACTGAATGAACAATAATTCCCTGATCTGACCAATTTCTGCAAAATGCCCTCGGAAGCACTTTATTTTTCCTGGTAGTGCAATCAAACTCTGCTTTACCCTCCGGACCCCCTGTCCAGATACATTACGCTGCTGTTTAACCCAGAATTTTTAATTTTTAATCTTTTAGAATTGGCCCTACCCACAGTGATTGATTTCTGTGTTTTAAATGTTGTGATTTTATATTGTTGGATGTGTTATTATAATGGTTTTGTATTGTATTTCTTTCTTTTCTTTACATTTTATTGTTGTGTTCTGTTTATATTGATGTATTGTATTGCTGGACTTGGTCTCATGTAAGCCTCCCTGAGTCCCCTTGGGGAGATAGTGGCAGGGTATAAATAAAGTTTATTATTATTATTATTATTATTATTATTATTATTATTTATCATGTCCACACAGACCACTTAGGTGGTATGGGGCCAGATCTGCTCCAGTGGTAGCCAAACAGTACATGGAACTGATCCAAGGTAATGTGGGACAAAGCTACCTTTATGCAGCCTTGCCTCATATTAACCAAAGTTAGAGGATAGTTTAGATTCTGACCCAGAAGCCACTAACTCTGGACCTGTCTGAACAGTTGGGCTGGTTCTGAAATGAAACTGGTCACAACTGTTTCTCTACTATCATTTGTTCCCAGGGCTCAGGCCGCCCAGAGATATGAGATAGCAGTCATTGTGACCTCCCACCCTCCATGCTACTGTAGCCTCTGCATGTGACAGGGGTTCTACCTGTTTACTGTTGCCTGCAGTGATATTGGATGGGGCAATGGGATGCTCTAAGAAGGGAAGCGAGATTCTCTTTCTCCTCCTCCTTCCTGATCCTGTTGCCACAGCCAGCATCACTGTGGGTGACAGTCAACAGGTAGGACCTGTTTTACAACCAGAGAATATCATGACACCAGTGGTGGGGGAGGGGGAGGAGATGGTTAGAGTTGCTGTCCAGTAGTGCTTAACTGCATTTAACCCTTCTGTGCAGTCAGGACTTCCTCCCCACTCTACAGTGCCTGGGGGAATTTATATGTGACCCACACCTGGACTGATTTATTTATTATTTATTTCGACATTTTTACTCCACCCTTCTCAACCCCTGGGGGTCTCAGGGCAGCTTCCAATTGGCAACAATTCAATGCTGTATAATAAATACAAAACACCAATAATTATAATACTTAAAAGCATAAAAACATTAAAACATAAAACATTAAAGCAATATGAGCTATTACCAGTCTGGTGGCCATTTATCTAGCCGTCTACTCAGTGTAGCTCCACATTATGTCTGTCCTTCAAATTCTCTTACTTTCTTTTTACACATTAAAGATGAGGAAGTTTAAAGCATACCCCTGTAGTCTGAATATAATTGCTTTCTGTTACTTCTAAATGTGGGAAACATTTTCCCCTTTAATGCCTACGAGGCCCATAGCCAGGATTTTGATTCAGGGGAGGGGGCTGAGTTTGATTGGGGGGGGCTGAGTCTGAGTGAAAGAGGGTCTACCCCAATACCCCCATTCATATGAGATATATAGAGCATGGTGATCAGATCATGATATGAATAAACATAACAGTTTAAATAATGTACCAGTAAGGCCTTTTCGCAGACCACCATGAGAATTTCGGGGTGGGGGGGACTGAAGCCCCCAAAGCCCCCCCTCCCCCGGCTACATGCCTGATGCCTACATATCTTCAGGAATTACTCTCATGTATTCATTCCTCTGCTCTGCAATCAGCCCAGGGCTGGTGGTGGCCATACCCACCCTGTCCCCCTGCCCCAAGTGCCAATGCTGATTTGGCACGGGAGGGAATGTGGCCACCCCCTTCGGCAAAAAGGCAAAGTTTTGGCCCTCCATGTGGGCAGAAAATGTGCAGGGAACTGGAGGCTTAAACTCCTGTTCCCTGAATGTTTTCTGTAGTCTATAATGGCCCATAGAGGAAGTTATATTCTTTGGAAGTCTTTTGCCAGTAAAACCAATCTTATCATTTCTTTTATTATTATTTAATTGACATTTCAGTGTTTTTCAAGACTATTCCTTTTTAATTTCTTCTGCCACTCAATTGTCATGTATTTCTCTTATTTGGTCTGGTTTATTTTTATTTTATGCATTATTGAACACTGCAATTTTTCAATTTTTTCCTCTTTTTCTTGTGTTGTTATATATATAGGTGAAGAATTTGACATATTTATTTACAAGAAAAAATAAAATTGTATAGAAGTCATTTCATATGCGTTGTATAATTCAGATTCTATAAGTAGAATGTATATAATTGTGTTGTTTCAGCTTGTTGGCATAGCTATCTATAGGCTGGTAGGAAAATATTCTAAAGCTGGGTAAACAGCTTATGATCCGCGTAATGGATGCAGTTCTGTGAACATCCCCGCCTCCAGTTTGCCATTCTCAAACCTTACTCTGGTATCTGGAAGCACTTAGAAAAAAAATAGATGCACACCAGTGGTAAATTTATGAGCAGAATTATATATTTGTGCTTGTACTCTAGTTTTTTAACCAGTAGTGTCTCACTTTAGTAACTCTTGGAACACATGTTTTCTTTCCTCTCATTCACAGTATCACCAACTTCAGGATGAATATTTCACCAGTGCTGTAGTCTTGTCACTGATTCTAGCTGCCTTATTTGGCCTTGTCTACCTTTTGATAATCCCACAGTAAGTGTTTGCTCAGAGTTTTAAATTAAACAAGACTGGGTTTTTAGTGGAATATTGTGTTTATTGTATTGATGGGCGTGGCCTCATGTAAGCCACCCCGAGTCCCCTTGGGGAGATGGAGGCGGGGTATAAATAAAGTTTATTATTATTATTATTATTATTATTATTATTATTATTATTAATATGGATGTCTTTCTTGGGATGAATTAACAGATTTATCTTTCATTATAGAAAAAATATGGATGTCTTCTGATCTTTGAAACCTTCTAATCACTATGTTAGTGACTTTATTGGAAACACAGCTAAGGCAATGCATTAGATTGCTTTTGAGAATTTTTTTCTCTCTTGTCAGAGAAAAAGCGGGGCAACAGTAGTAACAATAACAACAACAAGCCAATAAACATGGAGATTCCATCTGAACATTAGGAAGAACTTCCTGACTGTGAGAGCCGTTCAGCAGTGGAACTCTCTGCCCCAGAGTGTGGCAGAGGCTCCTTCTTTGGAAGCTTTTAAACAGAGGCTGGATGGCCGTCTGTCGGGGGTGCTTTGAATGCAATTTTCCTGCTTCTTGGCAGGGGGTTGGACTGGATGGCCCATGAGGTCTCTTCCAACTCTATGATTCTATGATTCTATGGTCCCAGTGGTGATCAGCACACTGGGTGCAGTGCCTAAAAACCTTGAGCTGCACTTAAAACAATCGGCGCTGACAAAATTACCATCTGTCAGCTGCAAAAGGCCACCTTCCTTGGATCTGCACACATCATTTGCTGATACATCACACAGTCCTAGACACTTGGGAAGTGTTCGGCATGTGACAAATACAAAAGCCAGCATAGTGATGTATCAAATAATAATAATAATAATAATAATAATAATAATAATAATAATAATAATAATATGAATTATTATTGTTGTTGTTGTTGTTGTTGTTTGCCAGTGATGTTTGAAACTGAAGTTTCTCTGTTTACTTATTAAGCAAAACAAATCTTCTATTCATATTTTTTGATACAAGATAAAGTTTCAGGGGATGTGTTTACATATGTGAGAGGATCTTGCCCCTACTCTTTAGTAGGAGCAGAACCACGTGAAGTCCCTAATACCTTCAAAAAGTGGAACTTTCCTGGCCCCCTGTCTTGGAAGAAGAGAACCCTATACCATGCCCACATGCATGCAACAATGACGGAAAACACGTGAAAGAGTGTGGAAGGCAGGATAAATTCACAAAGGAAAGGTTTTTATTCTAAGAATGACATCTAAATTGGCAAGGTTTCTTTCAGCATGAAGGGCGTCTCCCTTCAGAAAGTTCTTAGACATTACAATGGTACAATCAATCTAAGTCATATCCTGTCATGGTTACAAAGGAACTGTCATTTCACAAATGCTTCTATGCTTAACATTCCCCTATTATATTTGTGCTACAAATGGATGATCCTGGGTCTCTAATGTTCAAAGGTCTGGAATCTGTGATCCTCTGCCCAGATCTCTCTCGTGAACCTGTTACACCAATAAATGTATTTTAAATCTAACACTTCATTAACCCTTTACTAACTGTGTTGGCCAGATAATGGGAAGAGCCCATTATGACAACATATTGTGATTTTAGAAAAAATAATCTGAGAGAATCACAGGATCAAATCAAATAAGATCTTATTTTCTATGCTTATGTCAATGTTTTTGTTTAATATTTATTAAAACTGCTGACAGTCTTGCATAAAGGAACAGATAGTAATTCGAGCCAGATCATCAGCAGTAAATATCTTAGTTTAAGAAATGTACTGTTTGAAGAAGCAGTTCCATTAGTTTGCACTGAATCTTCCCACTACTCGTTTCATTTGAAAACTCTAGATTCTCGTGTTATGAGACACAAGAAAATGATCCACTTCCTCCATTTTACACTATTAATCCCCTCTTGCCATAAATACTCCTTTTCTTCTGTTTTCCTTATAATTCTGCAAGAAGTTGTAGTTTTAATTAATTGTATACAATTAGAAATATTGCTGTGTTTAGAATTGTAATGTAATTGAAAATATTCAACTACAGAGGGCGCTTTTACACTGATACTAAAAGCACTTCCCCACAGACATTATAATGCAGTTCCAAGCTGTCTTGAAGTCGCAATATCCACAAAATGTACGCATCCAATTTACACTGCAGCCAGGAACAGTGTGCTAAAAAACTCCCCTGAAATTCCAAAGTAAGATTTTAAAATGTGCTCCAGCTAAGCATTGTATATCCCAAGTACCCTGAGAAATAAAAACAGTGGCCATCAGAGCACTGGTCTGGATGGTGCATCATTAAGAAACACTAAAATGGCTGGCCAAAGGGCAAACACCCTTGGCCAAGGACATGCGGGTGGCAATTGCAATCAGTCCTTTGGGATAGAAAACCACAGGATTCTCATGGGAACTTTCGCTTTCCTCCTATTCTCATTTCTTGTGCCTTGGTGAGGGTCGGTGCTGGTCCCAAGTTCATCGCTGGCAGCAGCAGGTCGACGGCAAGTGGCAGGACAGGCAAATAGGGGGCAAGAGGTCCCATCCTCCACCCCTGATGCACTCTAGCACCCATCCTTCCCCCCAATAAACTTTAACACCCATCTTGCTTCCCACAATACATTCCAAACCCATCTTCCTACCCCAGTGCACTCCCCAGTTAACTGCCAATTGCCAGACCACATCCCACAGTGCCCTTTCCATTTCTTACCATTCATTTATTTAGGGAAAAAAGCACACCACACAGCTTGTAAAAATATAAAAATAAATGTATTGCAAAACAGAAAACTGAACTATTTACATATCTGTGGGAGGGGTCTTGTGGAAACAAGCAATGGAGGATTCTCAGGGAAGGGGGCAAGTGAGCGATGAGGTCCTCTGAATACCATTTAAACCCTTCCTCCAGGTGGTCCAAATGGAGCTCCACAGCATCCACTGGAAAGCAAAGGGGAAACAGCAATGTTAATTCCAGCAAGCACTATGGAATCTTATGGCCACATGCCATTCACATTTGGTACCGTCATGATAGGCCAGCATGCCCCTCTCCCTTACCCACACCAGGCACATGCACATACACCTGTCCCATGCTCCATCCCTTTGGATTTATGCTGCATACTCTTCTGCCACTGCCAAACATCACCCCTAGCTCCTGGTGATGGTTCAACAGCAGGTCTGGCTACAGGACCATGGGCCTCTGCATGTGGGGAGGAAAGGGAGATATATGGGAGGTCGCCATCTGCCAGACACCAAAATGGCAAGGAATGCTTTCCCAAGGGGGATCGAGGGAATAGAAAACTTACCAAAGTGTACCTACGGAGCAGGTAGTACTGGCACAATGGTGACGGGTCGAGCAGCATGTGCCCCCCCCCCCCCCCGGACACCCTTCTCTAGCACTGGAGTCAGAGCTGGCAGCATAGCACATTGGCTATGGGGAATGACAAGGCCCCTGGTAGTCACCTGCAGGGTGGTGGTCCCTTCAGCTGGGTACCCACCACATACTCAGGGTGCATACCCTTTGTCAAAGAAGCATGAGCTTCTTTTTTAGGATCTCCCCCTGGTGATACTCCAGGGCTTCAAAGAACCAGTCCGTTACCACCTTACGTTTGGTGTGGCATTGGTGTCTAGTTCTTTGAAAACCCTGCTGGTGGAGGGCCTGGGCTGCAGAAGCCCAGAAGTGCCTTGAGTGAAGACTGTTGCTGATAATAACTTTTTGACAGAGCTGGTTTGTTAAAGTATTCCTGCCTCTCATTAAGTGCACCTTGGTATGGCTTCATAAGCCAGCACTTAGTGGTATAAGGGGTCTTTGACAGCAGCAGTAGCCCAATCTGCATGCCCCAGCTAGCAATGCTGAGGTTGCTAGACATAAAGATGCTATGATCTTGTAGATGGCAGAGTTTCTTAGGATTCCGGCATTGTGCATTCAACCATTCAACCACTCCATCACAGTTCCACATTAAGGAAGTGCCCTTGGTGATCTGTAGTTTGCTGTAGCAGTCATATGGTGGCAATCATCCACGCTCCCTCCTGCCTGTGAGAAGCCCATTTCCATGAAGCCCGCCATAATCTGTAGAGGAAGGGGAAAGTGACAAGAAATCAGCTTACACTCACCAGTTATGTGTATGATCACTTCAGTTTATGCTTTTAGGATCATTTCAGGTCACATACTCTCTGCCATATCTAGTTCAGTGCTGCAAAAACACTGCAACACACTTTCTGCCAGCGGGGTTATTTTATATGAAGTGTTAAAATTTCTGTGTGTTTGATTTATTTGAGTTTGTATTGTCCTAGGTTCGAATGGCATTGAATTGTTGCCGAGTGTTAGCAGCTCTGACTTCCTCAATGAAGGAGAGAGGCCATGATATAAAAACAAAGTAAATAAAATAAAAAATTTGGTGGCATCCTCTTCTTCCAGTGACACTGTGCCATGTCTAGATCAGTGCTGCTGCACGGAACTGTGACACATCCTCTTTTCCATGGGCATTGCCTTTCTCATGTGCTCTGACCACCTCTGGGATGAGTGGCACCACAATCCTATGGAAAATGAGTTGTGGCATTCAGAAGTGGTGGATCCACTCTTCGCCCTTCATCTGTAATATACTTGGAATAGCTGCAATACATTATATGGCCTACATTAGACTTTCTTGTGACTTCTGTTAATTCTCTGCTACCCATTTAATCTGTGCTGCAGCACACAATGCTGGTGTGTGTTTTGTGGCTACTGCAACCTCAAGTCAGCTTCAGACTGCATTATATGGTCAGTGTAAGGACCCAGAGAAAGGACAAGCCATATCAGAGCATTGGGAAGTCTGCTATGCATATTAGGCTATGAGAAGAAACCCTTGATATTTAATTCATGGCAGAGAGGTCTAGGAAGAACTCAATGCTTTTATGTATCCTTCATGACTCAGTTTCCATATGTTCCTTTTAGGAGTACTGTAGTCCTTGTCCTTTTGGTGTTCTGCATATGCTTCCTGGTAGCATGTATCATGTACTTACATGTCACTCGAGTACAAGTAAGTATTCAGAAATGCTATGACTTCTTATGCTGGTAAGAGGTATATACAGGTAGTCCCCAAGTTAAGAACATCCAACTTACAAAGACTTCTAGTTAGAAACGTGAGGGGTGAGGGCACTAGGTGAACCCGGGTGCAGGCACACCAGCCGGAAGCATGCACTGGGCCTATTGCAGTATTTGAAAATGTTTAAGCATTTACATGCACAAGTAAAAATAAACAATATGTTAAGAATAAAACAAGTATTAGTCCAAGTTACATTTAAAGTAGAACTTCATGCAATGTTTTGTTTAGTTTTGTTTAGTATGTTGTGGGGTTAAAGCAACTGGGATTTTTATTGTTGTCTGTATCCTCAATAGAAAGATTTAATCATACTTCCTGTCTCTGAGTCAACGGGAAGTGAGAGGAAATCTACCCCTAGGCAGGGAAATCAACTCTTGTAAGAGCTATCATGGGAAAAAGTGTCTCCACTGAAGCTTTATCACCAAACCTTGTCTCCACGACAACCCAAAATTTTCAAAATCCAATTCTCACAGGGACAGAAATTGAGGTGAAATCTTCTGAACAGGCACACAGAGAGCAAAACAAATGCCACAGGGTAATGAAAACTTTAAGAAATGGCTGGAGGTACACGTAGAAATGTACCTGTCCTGACTTACATACAAATTCAGCATAAAAACAAACCTACAGAACCTATTTTGTTCAAAACCCAAGTATAGTGTTACAGCAATATGGTTTTCATTTCTGCAACATTGTGTGCTTGAAGATAAAAACCGGTTTATTTTATTAACATACAACTCTTAGGATTGGCAGATTAGAAACAAGATAGGGCTTCTGAAACTTTGATCCTTAACAGATTTTGGAGCATGAAAAGGTTCTGTAAAACCCCATCGGATAGGATAAAGGACCCTATCCTTCCTAGATGTATCTTTTCTTCAATACAATAATATCTGTATCCGTTAAAATATCTTATAAAGACATTTTTAGTTTATTGACTATGGATCATTTTAATCAGTGTTTCATGACACACTTATAACATTCTTTTACATTCTGTTTCACTCTTTGAGGGAGTGGGCAACATAGCCATGCACAGTGGTGAAGTATAGGAACATTTCAGGAGTGCCTGAAATAGGAAGGAAACTGGAGTTTAAAAAGTGACATAATATGTCACAAAACCATATTGCAATAAAACTGTGCATGTATGCTTCACTCTGCCTCTTATGTTTTGTTCTCAGGTGACAGCATGGGATGGGGGAGCAATGCATTCCATTTCTTTAGATGTGGATGACTGTGTTGCCCACTGAAGCATGATTCTTCCTCTTTCCTGAAAGGGAAAAAGTTATGCCATTTTACAGAATTCATAAAAAAAAAAAAACAGGAGTTCTTTGATTGTGTGTTCCTGCATGGCAGGGAATTAGACTGGATGGCCCATGCAATTTTTTCCAACTTTATGATTCTATTCTACCAGCCACTCGCAGCACAGTGGAGCCCCCTTACCCAAAGTTGGACTGTTTCAAAAAGAAGAAGAACTAATTTTGTTATTTGCACATTTGACAGTTTCCATGGGAGGAAGTGTCCCCTACTGGCACTGCAGAATGAACCCCTACTTTACAGAATTGTTGGAAAGCAACATAAATTTTGGACAGCTCACCATGACAGCTTTCCCCTTTACCTTGCACTGGAAGGAAATAGAACTGACCTTGACCACGAGGATACCAGTTGGGAGGGCTCCACCATTAAGATGCCCAACTATTCACTTAATAGCCCATTTAATTCAGTCTCCCCTCACTGCCTGTCCTCTCAGCTCCTATCTATACTGCCATATAAAATCCAGATTATCTGCTTTGAACTAGATTATATAGCAATGTAGACTCATAGTTCAATTCAAAGCAGATATTCTGGATTATATGGCAGCGTAGATCTAGCCTCAGACCCAATCTACACTGCCATGTAAAATCCAGATTATCTGCTTTGAAATGGATTATATGGCAGTGTAGACTCAGGTTGGATCTACTCTGCCCTATATCCCAGGATCTGATCCCAGATTTATCTGCTTTGAACTAGCTCATATTAGTCCACACTGCCAGATTTATTTATTTGTTGTGTCAGGGCAACCAGTCAATTATATTACATTTCTAACAGAACAAAGCAAACAGACAAAATACAAAATTTGTGAGTTTGGTAGTTGATTAAATGTCCTTTGACCAGTATCTGGCCACTTGGAGTGACTCTGGTGTTGCTGCAAGAAGGTCCTCCATTGTGCATGTGGCAGGGCTCAGGTTGCATTGCAGCAGGTGGTCAGTGGTTTGCTCCTCTCCACACTCACATGTTATGGATTCCACTTTGTAGCCCCATCTCTTGAGGTTGGCTCTGCATCTTGTGGTGCCAGAGCGCAGTCTGTTCAGCGCCTTCCAAGTTGCCCAGTTTTCTGTGTGCCCAGCAGGGAGTCTCTCATTTGGTATCAGCCATTGGTTGAGGTTCTGGGTTTGAGCCTGCCACTTTTGGACTCTCGCTTGCTGAGGTGTTCCAGCGAGTGTCTCTGTAGATCTTAGAAAACTATTTCTAGATTTAAGTTGTTGACGTGCTGGCTGATACCCAAACAGAGGATGAGCTGGAGATATCTCTGCCTTGGTCCTTTCACTATTGGCTGCTACTTCTCGGCGGATGTCAGGTGGTACAATACTGGCTAAGCAGTGTAATTTCTCCAGTGGTGTAGGGCGCAGACACTCCGTGATAATGCAGCATGTCTCATTAAGAGCCACATCCACTGTTTTAGCGTGGTGAGATGTGTTCCACACTGGGCATGCATACTCAGCAGCAGAGTAGCACAGCGCAAGGGCAGATGTCTTCACTGTGTCTGGTTGTGATCCCCAGGTTGTGCCAGTCAGCTTTCGTATGATATTGTTTCTAGCACCCACTTTTTGCTTGATGTTCAGGCAGTGCTTCTTGTAGGTAAGAGCACGGTCCAGAGTGATTCCCAGGTATTTGGGTGTGCTGCAATGCTCCAGTGGGATTCCTTCCCAGGTAATCCTCAGAGCTCGGGATGCTTGTCTGTTCTTAAGGTGAAAGGCACATGCCAGGTAATCTGGGATAAGAAACTAATTAGAATCAGATCATGGGATGTAGGGCACTGTAGATTCAGACTCATATTGTACGGGCAATCCAGCCCTTCACTGACTGCGAAAAATGTAGGGGCAATGGCTCATTGGCACTCCGCCAGCTCACTGCACATTGCCAGGAGTCCCCTGAGCTCAAGAGGGCGATGTAATGGAAGATGCACCACAAGTTGAATCCCAACTGCAGAAGCTGTTCATTGTGGGTCAAAGCAATAGGGACAACGCATGGAGCATAAAAAGGTCTGTCACACACCCCAAATGGGTCTGAAAGGCTTTTATCTCTTTGACAAAGAATTCAAGACACGTTCAATGAAGGCCTCCCCTTCTTAAAATGAATTGACTGTAATCTATCTGTTGTGTGGTGTTTGGGAAGTGGGCTGTTTGCAGGTCAGTGGTGTCCTACTCTTGTAAGGTTAAGAGTGGACCTAGTCTGAGGGGCCAAGCCTGTGTGTGGCTGGAAGACCCATGTGAACATACTCAACAGTTCTGTTCTTGCAGTCCTTCTGTCATGGAATTTACCAATTTGTGAAGTGTGTTCTTCTCCCATCCTGCTATAATGGAGTGTGGCTGAAGGCTGTGAAGGTTAACCATTTAAATGACATCATACCGGCTTTCCCCAAAGAACACAATTCTAAATTCTTGACTAATCCAGTTCAAAGTAGATGATCTGGATTATACAGCAGTGTAGATCAAGCCTCAGGCTGGATCCACGCTGCCCTATATCACAGGATCTGATTCCAGATTATCATTTTATCCCAGATTATCTGTCAGTGTAGACTCATATAATCTAGTTCAAAGCAGATAATCTGGAATCAGATCCTGAGATATAGGGTAGTGTAGGGCAGTGTAGATCCAGCCTCACTCATTACTGACTACCTACAGCATGAGAAAGGACAATTTTGAAGTGTCCACATATGTGCGCACATGTTTGGGTGCACACACACTGCAGTTCTGTTGATATAATTTCCTTTTGGATGAGTAATATTGGACAAGTACGTTGTGGAACATCCTGATGCACAATGTTTAGTTTGAATTCCTAGAAGGATCTCATATATATACAACTATGACTTATATTAGATAACTAATAGAATTAATCTGTCAATTTCCCATTTTTATATATTTTATTACCTCTATTGTTTTACAAAGAGTTTAGGACCACTTAATTTATAGTGTATTGTTCTTTCCTTTCAGTGTTTTCCAGGGTGCCTGACAATACAGATTCGAACCATTTTGTGTATTTTTATTGTGATCTTAATTTACTCCGTGGCACAAGGTTGTGTGGTGAGTATGTGACAGTGAAGCAATTATTGTGTAATTTATTTAGCAAATCACAATTTTATTAATTTGCTTTAGGCCTACACTAACAAATATAAATGTGTGAGAGTATTTTTATTAGCTTAAATAGACTATGCATCAGTCACCTTACTATAAAAGAGTTCTCTGTAATTGAATTTCTTATTAAAACTGAAAATAAATAAATTGTTCTATACTTCTCTCTTCTGGTATTGTCCAATTCATAAATGCAGCACAAGCAAGTTTTAAAGGTGTGTCCGATATTGTACTTGGACTGTACCATTTCAAACAGCAGTGAGGCATTGCAAGCTTTTCATTACAACCAAGCATAACCAGCATTGGGGGGGGGGGGGTTCATATGAGTATGAAACGTGCATATCAGCAAAAGTTGTTCATTCTAACTTCCTCAATTTTTTTTCATGACATGCATTCAGTCATGCGGCCCTCCACCTTTGTCCTGAAACTGGTGTAGTCGACTGAAAAACCTTTATGGTCCCATCTACACTGACCATTTAATACAGCTCAAAGTCAATTTATATACAAAACGCATGCTACCAATGCCTGCAGCAGTGTGAATTAAATGGTATACAGTGCATTAAAGAAAATTTTATGGAAGTCCGAGATAGGCCCTTTAATGTGTTGCAGCAGATCTCAATATATCCCAGATCCCAAGGAGAAATTGACTCCGCAGAATGCAAAGCGAATTGTAGACACCTAGCCCTGCTGAAGCCCTTTGTAGAAGTCTGAACGAGGGGCTATCAAAATATGCCCCAATGACATGGCTACCTAGCAGGGGGCTTATTGACCCTCGGGGGTGAGTACTTTATTACCTCCATTTCTGTCATTTTACCTTTCTTTTCACCTAATTCTTTGTAATCCTGATCCTCATCTTACCTGGAAATGAAGGGCAGGATGCAGAGTGGTTTGAAGCTAGGTTCTATGGTTAATATAATCATCAACCTTGCCACAAATAGTTCCAGAACTGGGTTGTTGTAGGTTTTTCCGGGCTATATGGCCATGTTCTAGAGGCATTTTCTCCTGACGTTTCACCTGCATCTATGGCAAGCATCCTCAAAGGTTGTGAGGTCTGTTGGAAACTAGGACAGTTGGGGGGGGGGGTGTATCTCTGTGGAATGTCCAGGGTGGGAGAAAAAAAAATATTCCACAGATATATAAACTCCATTTTCCTAGTTTCCAACAGACCTCACAACCTCCGAGGACGCCCACCACAGATGCAGGCGAAATATCAAGAGAGAACTCCTCCAGAACATGGCCATTTAGCCCAGAAAACCCACAACAACCCAGCCTCCATAGGTATTGCAGACTTCTAGAGGATAAGCCAAACAGCATTTCCACAGAGCATGTCCACAGAGACTCTGTGAACATTCCATAAAGATACACACACACCATTTTCCTAGTTTTCAACAGACCTCACAACCTTTGAGGATGCCTGCCATAGATGCAGGTGAAACGCCAGGAAAAAATGCCTCTAGAACATGGCCATTTGGCCGGAAAAACCTACAACAATCCAGTGATTCCGGCCATGAAAGCCTTCAACAATACATAGTTCCAGAATTGTCAATCTAATTACCCACACAGCAAAACTGGTTCCTCTTAAACTGATTTCGATCTGCAGTATAGTGTCGGTGTGCTCCATGACTTGATATAGTTAGCTGACATGAAATGTACCATATATTCTGGTGTATAAGACTACTTTTTAACACAAGAAAATCTTTTCAAAAGTCAGGGGTCGTCTTATACACAGGAGTCATCTTATACGCGGGAGCCTTCTTATACACGGGAGTCTTTATATACACGGGAGTCTTCTTATATGCTGGAGTAGACTTATGCATGGGAGTCGTCTTATAGAGCGGGTGCTGAAACTTCCAATTCGGATTGGAGAATCTGTGGTTGCTGCATATGGTGGGGGGAGCTCAAAAATGGCAGTGGCCACGTCCCTGCCATATGCAGGGACTATATTAAAGCATTAAAGGCAACACTGTACAAGTCTGGTAGAAGAAAATCCATTCATCAGGATTCGTGGACTTAATGCAGTCTCGATGGTGAGGTGAAGGGGTACCTCACCAGGAGCCCCCGGTGGCGCAGTGGGTTAAAGACCGACAGGTCGCAGGTTCGAATCCGGGGAGAGGCGGATGAGCTCCCTCTATCAGCTCCAGCTCTTCATGCGGGGACATGAGAGAAGCCTCCCACAAGGATGATAAAAACATCAAATCATCCAGGCGTCCCCTGGGCAATGTCCTTGCAGACGGCCAATTCTCTCACACCAGAAGCGACTTGCAATTTCTCAAGTCGCTCCTGACATGACAAAAAAACAAACAGGAAGGTGTAAGTGAAGGGCATGCTACAGGTGTCTGGGTCGCCGGGGGTATGGAAAAAAGAGAGAGAGTGGCTCTGGGCCAAGAAAAACACAACTCTTTTACCTGTCTGGCCCGCCCTTGTATCCTCTTACTGTACCTCCTTCTCTGCCTCTCAGATCTCTGTGCTGAAGACTACAGTGAAGTGCGGGTACGCATGTGCGAGATCTGAGAGGCAGAGAAGGAGGTACAGTAATAGGAAAATTAACATATTGAAATCAAATCTTTTAAAAATTTTATTTGGTGTGTGTTGGAAGAGGGGTAGTCTTATACGACGAGTATATCCCAAACTCTATATTTTAACTGGAAACGTTGGGGGTCATCTTATATGCCCAGTCATCTTATATGCCAGAATATACGGTACCCATAAATTCTGACAAGGATCTGAGGACATTTGATTTGTCGTAAGATACAAATCTTTGAGGTACAAGTGTCACTCTGCTTTACTGAAATGTGGAAAGGATTGTCTTTTGACTGCTTCAGAAACAACAATTAACCCGTTTGTTACATGTCTTTTCTTTTGTATATTGTGTACACATGCTCTGACTTTCACAAACACATATATAAAAAATGCAGTGGATTTATTCAACTGTCTGCAAATAGATATTTTATCATATGTCTTCCCCTGATACGTTATTGCAGGAAGGAAAGTTCCATTGGCATCAGTGGAAGATCCCCTCTCAAGATTAATCAGAGCTGAGTAGGCATAAAGGGTTTTTGTTTTTTTACGAGGGTTTTAGTGACAGGTTAAATATTCCCTACCCCTTGCAATACTGATGACTAACACATCCATTGTATATTAACATCAACAGAAATTTGTGCATTTGTATCATGTACCGTTTGACCCTAACTGCTACCGCTATCAAATGTCTTATACATATGTGGATTCTCCTTATTTTACTAATAAGCATGGTTTATTCTTCATAGTCATTTTTTTTACTCTCCATTTACCTCTAGGTTGGTTGTATGCCCTGGGTCTGGAATACTAATTCCAGCAGTTCCATAGTTATCATTTCTCCTAGTGGGACAAATAAGACAATGAATGAACTTCCATGTGACGCAGCTCATTATGCATTTCTCTCCTGCGTGGTGGGGACTCTGACCCTGGCAATATTTTTACGCATATCTTCCTTGCCAAAAATGATCCTCCTGCTTTTTGTTACAATTTTGTACATAGTCATTTTGGAACTCGGTGGATACAGAAAAGCAGTAGGGTAAGTGCACTGCGTAACTGAGAAGAGACTGTTGTTTCCTTTTTTAAAATCCATAGACTTCGAATGCAACTTTTTTTGTAAAAAGTAAAAAAAAATCTGTTTATGGGGTTTTGCCACATTAAACCAAAATGACATTATTTATTTATGACAATTATATGCCGCCTTTCTCACCCTGAAGGGGACTCAGAGCGGCTTACAAGATATATCTATATATCTATCTATATATAAATGCTCTGTGCATAATGAGTACCTTAAAAACAAAAGAACCAATGAACAAAATCACACCAAATTTGGCAACAAGACGTCTCACAACACAAGGAGTGACCATCACTCAAAAAATAGTGATTTTGTCATTTGGGAGTTGTAGGTGCTGGGATTTATAGTTCACTTACAATCAACGAGCATTCTGAACCCCACCAACAATGGAATTGAACCATATGTAGCATAACAGGACTCCCATGATCAACAGAAAGCACAAGAAGGGTTTGGTGAGCATTGACCTTGAGTTTGGGAGTTGTAGTTCACCTACATCCAGAGAGCATCATGGACTCAAACAATGATGAATCTGGATCAAACTTGGCACGAATATTCCATATGCCCAAATATGAACACAGATGGAGTTTGGGGGGAATAGACCTTGAAATTTGGGAGTTGTAGTTGCTGGGGTTTATAGTTCACCTACAATCAAAGAGCGTTCTGAACCCCACCAACGAAAGAATTGGGGCAAACTTCCCACACAGAACCCTCATGACCAACAGAAAATACCTAAGGCCATCCAGTCCAACTCCCTTCACCGGGGCAAGAAAATGTAATCAAAGCCCTCCCGACAAAGAGCCATCCAGCCATAAATATAGATAGATATGATTCACACACAGAGAGATATAGTATCATAGACTTGAAAGGGACCCCTAAAGAAGGACAATAATACATGTATATACAATACATTACATTACATGATTCTAACTATATACCAAACTATATACTAAGTAATAGTTTTGGAAAATAGCAGAGGCAAGGAGACTTGGTTGCCTAAATCTCCTTGGAATCCTAATATTATTTTCAAAGAGTGAATTTAGCCCAGAGACATTGCTTGGTTTCATCCATAACAAAAAGCCAGCACCTGCAGATATTACACCATTTGCTTATTTTCATCCCTTGTTTGCCTTGGCTTTGTCTTCTGCCCTAACTTGTCTTTATTCTTCTATTCATTACCTAATTTAGGCCTCCTATTCACTGACCAATGAATGTAGTTTGAAGCTGGCTTCAAACGGTCACAGCCAGACAACAAATTCCCCCAAAATGACGTGAAAGAAAGCTGTTAATGTACATCAATACCCTGAAGTTTGTGTAACATCATCTGGCCTCAAACTTATTCCAGGATTCCTACATAATCATCTGCACAGCGAAACTATTTTATTCAATACCGGTTTGAAACTGCATTCAGTGATCAATGTAGATGGGACCTACCATTATAAAGCCCTTAGTTCAGAGATATTAATCACTTTCTTATATTAACTCATTTCTATGGACTGTGTGCTTGGTACCTGTCTATATCTCTGCTACAAACCGTGACTATTATTGATCATATGTAGGGGTAGAGGAGAAATTTGTCAGTTTGCATTTTAAAGCAAACCTAACCCAATGGTGGAAAATAATATTTAATTATTCTTCAAAACTCTCATTTTCAAAACTGCAAAACTGATATTTTCAATAAAAAAAGGTATAAAAATTGCTATATTAGGGGAAAGTGCAAACAACTGAGTGGTGAAAGAAATATTTAAAATGATAATCAAATTTCTTGCAAAAATGTATGCGTTAGGAGAAACATACAGAAACATGTACAGGGATTTTTTTAAAAAAAAATCCCCAAAGTACAGAATAAACTAAAAAATGGAAAGAATTAAATCTTCTACTCTCTCTTCCATCAAAGCAGAAGGCCTCACAATTGCTTTGGCATGTGTTTGTACTTCACCTTTCTATTTTATATGGAACAAAGCTTAGAAAGTTATTTTTATAATTAATTGGTTATGATTATAGTTCTAAGTGCTAATTTTGTACTCATTTTGTACTTCCTGACACTCAGAACACCATCAGATCAGGCATGTAGCCCGAAATTCTCATGGTGGTCCGGGAGAAGGCCTTACTGGTACATTATTTAAACTGTTATGTTTATTCATATCATGATCTGATCACCATGCCCAATATATCCCATATGCATGGGGGTATTTGGGTAATGATACAAAAGGTTTGCTAGGGTAGACCCTCTTTCACTCAGACTCAGCCCCCTCCCCCCGAATCAAACTCGGCCCCTCCCAAATCAAAATCCTGGCTACGGGCCTGCATCAGATAGTCAAGAGCCTACTGTTAGGTTCTTTGCTGCATACTCAGAATTATTTATTTGTGCAAAAGTATTTGTGATTTTTCAATAGACAAATGTATTTTTACACAGAAAGATTGTGTGCTTTTCTGCACAGAAAAACATGTTTTCTGTGCTGAAAAAAAAAACCTATATATTTGTGTACAATATAGGTTTTGTGTACAATATAGGATTTCTGCCCAGAAAACAAGTTTCCACTATGTAGAAATACATGTAGAAAAAATTGCATGTATTTCTACATAGTGGAATATCTCTGGAAGCAAGAACTGCGACCAAGAACTGTGTTCTTTTCCAACAGTGGGAATAAAAGATTTAGACAAAGAAGATTAAAATGTATTCTGATGCCCTATTTAGTGTTGTGTTTGTACATGTTTAAAAGGACATCATTTCCAGGTTCCTTAAAAATATTTTTTAAACTTTCAAAACATACATTAAAAGAAATCAGAAATATTCCTTCTCCGCCTCTTGGTGAGGCCATATAACTGGTGACGTTACCATTATGCTAAATTGAATGAGTTTTCTTTTATTAAATTACAGTTGTAACATAATATTTTTGTACCTTCAATAATGAAGAAATTACATCTTTAAAATTTCCTGTAATCTGTTACTCCCAAACGTGTCGATACTAGTCAATGAAATTATATGTTCTGAATCCAAATTGTTTTCAAAGACTAGAATGATCAGATTTATTATTTTCATATTTTTATATTGCCATTGAATAAAATACTTACATGCCTCATTTCTTTCTTTTTTTAAAGGGGTGGCTCGTTTTATATTCGTGGCTATGAACCCATATTAGCCATCTTATTATTTTCCTGCGCTTTGGCACTTCATTCCAGGCAGGTGGATTTGAAGCTACGTCTGGACTACCTCTGGGCTGTGCAGGCAAGGCATCGTTTTTCCCTTCCATAACAATAGTATGGTTTCCATTTTGTGTAGTCCCTTATTGTATGCGAGATTACGAAAACATTTTTATCAAGAAATATGCAACAAGTGAAGGGATGATATATGTCCTTTTGCTTTACCTTTCTCCATATATTCTGCTTTATCCCTTAAGATTCTCGCTTCTTATCAGATGCCTGAAATTTCATTCCTGCTTTCAGATGCTACACCCTTTTCTGCAGCGCTATTCAATTTCATGCTAAGTAGCAATAATGTGTATGATGTTGGGGGGAGGGGTTGTTTATCCACCATCTTTGGTGTTGTATTCCTACTGCTCCAACTCCATCATTTTCATGACATTGTTTTCAGAGAATAGGTGTACTGCATATTGCTTTCCTCAGCTTACAAGCCTATTCAATTCAATACCTTTTACCCATTTTCAGAGGGATAATATGTGATGGTTCCTAGGGCACCCCTTGGTCCATTCTTTAAAAAAATTCCGGTGAAAGCATGTCTTAAAAGGGGAGGGGGGAGGTGTTTGCTGCTGGAAAAGCAACAAGAAGGGGCCAATTTTGGCTCACCTAGAGTCCAGAAGCAACCACCATTAAGGTCTTCTTTCACATCCCTACCAAATGCTTGTAATGGAATGAGGGAAGGGCATGCATCTCAGGGTCCTTCCAGACAGAGCCAAATTGTGAAAGGAACCAGGATTTAAAATCCCAATTCCTTTCAAGATTTAGGCCACACAGAGGGCCCAAATCCCAGGTTTTCCTGGGGGGTGTGGCTACATGCCCTCCCAGGTCAATCAGAGGTCAACCTGGGAGAGCATCTAGCCAGCCCCCCCCCCCCCCCCCCCCCCCCGCATCCTCAGACCCCTCGGAGTAAGCTTCTGATGTCTCAAAATGAGGCATCAGGAGCTTTGGAGAGGAGAGGGAAGATTTTGTAAAGGCAATTCTTAAGAAGCATGGCTTCGGTTTGATCAGATATCTGGCTCTAAAATGTTAAGTTTTAGAAAAGGAGAACCAAGGAGAGAATTTTTAAATTGTTGATCTTTTATTAAATTGTCCAAAATATCTAGTCTCTTAACTGTCCCTTATATTACTCTTTATTCTGGTTGCCCACCCAAGCTTCTATAATATGAAGCCAACAGAGGCCTTTATATGTGTGTCTACAAGCATTGTTTGCATGATTCAGTCCTCCCAGTTCCTCAGCCTGGCTACTGGGAATTGGAAATAACAGTTGGGATTCCTGACACATAAGGTAAAGGTAGTCCCCTGACATTAAGTCCAGTCATGTCTGACTCTGGCGTGTGGTGCTCATCTCCATTTCTAAGCCGAAGAGCCGGCTTTGTCCGTAGACACCTCCAAGGTCATGTGGCCGGCATGACTGCATGGAGCACCGTTACCTTCCCGCCGGAGCGGTACCTATTGATCTACTCACATTTGCATGTTTTCGAACTGCTAGGTTGGCAGAAACTGCTAGGTTGGCAGTTAACCAGACACATAGCCAGAACAAAAAGCACAGAATTCCTGACTATTGAACAGAATTACAAAACGGCATGAAGTGGATGGAAGTCAAAAGGTTTTTTAAAAATTATCTATCTATCTATCTATCTATCTATCTATCTATCTATCTATCTATCTATCTTTTCCTCCTCTTCTTTTCTTTCCTCATTTCTTTTTACTCTATAAAATTATTAATAAAAATATTTTTAAACAAGAACAGTTGGCTAGGGCTTCTGGGAGTTGGAGGCCCAAACAGCTGGAGGGCCACAATTTGAGGGTGCCTGCTCTACTTGTTTTGGACTTCAGATCCCTGAATCCCCAGTAAACTTGGCCAACAATCAGGAATTCTGTGTGCTGAAATCCAAAACATTTGGAAGACTAAAGTTTGGAGGAAAGTGCCGTAAAGGAACCCCCATTCATCTAGTGTCTTCCAGACATTTTGGACTGCGATTCCCACCATCCCCAGTGTTATGTGAAAATATGTTTTCCCCAGAAGCTGCTTCTACAGTGGCTAATGGCCAACCTGTTTGCCCCATAATTTTTAATGTGCTCCCAACCAAGAAAAAATATCTCATTTGCACTTTTGCTGATTATAAAAAAAATACTTGATCATCACTTGTCAAGTTGTCACCAATTGGGAGCCAACAGAGCCCTTTCATTCTTTAGGGGGTCCTTCTGTGCTTGCAGACTACTCCTATCTTCCATAAGGTAAGCTTTTAGTCGTCTTTTGGAAGATGGACAGTATAGTCAGCAGTGGGGTAAAGACCCAGTTAAAGGAGAGTACACTTGGTGAGTTGCTCAACTAAACTCATTCCTTGGCATTTGAAGAGGGTTGTAGACATATTAAATACTTATACTGTGAATTTTGTACCATCCTTAGTTATAGGTAAGTATGTGAACATATGTGTGTGTCTCCTGGTAGAAGATAGCACATACAAATTCAAGAAAAGTTTTTTATGAACAATGCAAACATGTGCATGTTTACTCATGATTGCAAAATGAAATTCCTCCCTACAAAATGTAGTTAAGACTGTACCTTGCATTGTTAAAAATATCACCTTTTACATAGGCAGAAGAAGAGAGAGATGATATGGAAAGAGTGAAATTGGATAACAAACGGATTCTCTTTAACTTATTGCCAGCACATGTTGCTCAACATTTTCTCATGTCTAATCCAAGAAATATGGTAAGGAAAATGATCACTATCTGGATTTCTAGCTCATTCCCAGGCTATATAATGTACACTGTATTTCAAAACATAATAGCAGAGGACAGCAACAACTTCCTCAAAAACATAGATAACTTCCTCTTTGTAATGTTAAGATATTAATAATATTGTAACACAACTTTTTTTTCATGTTAAGGATAACAAACTGATCTTTGGAGCCTGTGCTAGGAGAAAGGCAATAAATAAATAGTGCTATAATCACCATGACCCCTAAAAGAAAATGCCAATCAACATGTTTGCTAAACTTTCAGGCTATACATTGTTGGAGGAAAGGATGAAAGATCCAGCATTTTTTAGACTTCTGACTGGGAGATAGAATAACAAGTGTTAGAAGACAGCAGTTATGGACCAACTTACTTGCAGCAGGCTGTACCCACCCAGATTCTGCTCACAAAAATTAAAAAAAGTGTTCCTTGTTCAACATCTTGTGTTTTTATATCTTGAATTGATGTCTAGTCATGGAATAATGAGAGCAGAGACAAACAATGGGTTGAATAAGGACCGCTTTATTTAGCTTAGCCTAAATGACAGGAACACGGGGCAGACAACAACCTCTCAAGCAGCCAAAAAGAGAGAGAGGAGGAAGATTCCCCCCTCTTCCTAAAAAAGCCATACAATTCCAATCACCTATTACTCCACTATCTAATATGGGTCACATCTATTCCCCCACATCCCATTACAGATACAACAAAATGAGCAATAACAGGGCATACAACAGATATGCCCTGTTATTGTGCATTTTGTTGTGTCTGTAACGATACAACATTCTTATCTGTAATGATACAACATTCTTATTGTTCATTTTGTTGTACCTGTAATGATACAACATTACGAAAAGAATGTAGTGAAATAAAAGGGGGAAGGGGAACCCAGGATTTCAAGGAAGTCACCAAAGAGGTATCCTCCCTGTAGTGCCAGTGCCATGCTGTCCAGGTACATATTATTTTTATTTGTGTCAGAGCTGAAAATTACAACAAAGTTTTTGGACACTTGTTGCTTTTTCATAGCTTGTATGAAAGTGTTAAAAAGCGATGTGGTATCAGCAGCCCCATTAGGCATGCCTCCATTTCCATATGAAGTTTGTATGACTTTCTGGCCTACATAATAATATGTGAATTAGATACAAAAGTATCCTTGACACTTTGAAATGTTGCCTTTTGAATGCTGACTCTTGAATTGGGTTGGATCTTTGTGTACATTAATTAAGGGCTCATCCACAGACCACAAACATATTACCTTCCCCAGGTTTACCTGAGGCATCCAAATGACATCTCAGATAAACCTGAATTAATCTGGAGTAAATTGGGATTTCCCCGTTGACTCCAGATTACTTATACACTTGGAAAGATCTGAACCTTAAGGTAAGGTCCATATCTTTCCAGGTGTGGACCCTGTGGGGATTGACATCCAGGATTGCTTTCTCAATCTCGGGGATCCATTCCCACAGCAATCCCAGTTCTTTGGGCACCAACCCCCTCCCTTCCCAGCCCCCTCAGCCCCCCCGCCCCAAATTTACATGAGGGGACTGGCTGCAGCCACACGATGCATCATTTTCATGGACCAGGAGCTCTCCTTGACGAGGTCTGCAGTTTCAACCATGCCCCCACATAAGTCTGGGGATGGGAGGATCAACCTCTGGTAGATCCAGGAGGGCATATAGCCACCCTCCCTGGGAAGTTTGAGTTGGGGGTGGGGACAAAATCCCAGTTCCTCCTGCGATTTAGTGATGTCTCAAAGAGCCCTAAATTACCCAGTGATGGCCATACAAAATGTAGTCCCTTCTAAAATCCCATTCATTTCAATGAGATATAAGGATATTCACTTTGTCTGAATCCAACCCCAATGAGATTTTTTATCTTAACAGACAATTTAATTTAAACATTTCAGGATTTGTATTACCAGTCATATTCCCAAGTCGGAGTGCTGTTTGCTTCCATTCCCAATTTCAACGATTTTTACATAGAACTGGATGGCAATAACATGGGAGTGGAATGTTTACGTCTGTTAAATGAAATTATTGCAGATTTTGACGAGGTAAGACTTGAGTCTGCCATTTCAGCAATATATTTGTAATTTTTTCATAATCTTGATAATATAGCACATTACTTTCATAAAATTTATTTTTCACTATGTAATCCATTCTATGCTGTCAGCATCACTGAATGATTCAGGCAGCAAGTTTATAGACTTTAAAATATTTGTTATATATTTGAGACAGCAAAAATAGCTGAAAGCAGGGATGGGGGAGAGAAAAGTAATAAGCATGCATGTCTTTCTTGTTTAAAATACTATGCAATGTTTTATATTTCAAACAAAGCTTATGGACAAAGAATATTATAAAGACATTGAAAAAATCAAGACAATTGGCAGTACGTATATGGCAGCAGTAGGACTTGTACCAACTACAGGCACCAAGGTAAGATAGCTTTCATTTGGAACATTTCCTTGAGCATTTTCACAAACAATCTTTAGAATGTTGTAGGAACCTCCTGTTTTAGTATGTTGAACTGGAGTGAACTACTCTGGGTTAGTATTGGTGGTAGCTACGCTGCTAACCCCCACCCCAATCCCCACCCAAAAAGCTGGCTTGAGAGCTGCATGAAAGCTACACAGTCCAATCAACTATGTGATCCCATACCATTTGGATTCCAGAGTTATCTCCAAAGATTTCTTAATTATGGGAGCATATTGACAGGACAGTTATCTTGATGTTGAATAAAGATACACATTAATTAGAACTAGAACTGGATGATAATATTTGCTCACCATTTTTCAGCTAGTTTTCCTACAGGAAAGGAGATTCCACCTAAATATTAAGAATTTATTTTATTTATTTATTTATCGTGTCATCAGCAACCATTGTATTACAATTCTAACAGAGCAAAACAAACACAGAGATTAAAAAGAAAAAGAAAAAAAAGAAAAAGAAAACCACACAGATTTTGCAAATTTGGTATTTGGTTAAATGTCCTTTGACCAGTATCTGGCCACTTGGAGTGCCTCTGGGGTTGCCGCAAGAAGGTCCTCCATCGTGCATGTGGCAGGGCTCAGGGTGCATTGCAGCAGGTGGTCAGTGGTTTGTTCTTCTCCGCACTCGCATGCCGAGGATTCCACCCTGTAGCACCATTTCTTAAGATTGGCTCTGCATCTCGTGGTGCCAGAGCGCAGTCTGTTCAGCGCCTTCCAAGTCGCCCAGTCTTCTGAGTGCCCAGGGGGGAGTCTCTCATCTGGTATCACCCATGAATTGAGGTGCTGGGTTTGAGCCTGCCACTTTTGGACTCTCGCTTGCTGGGGTGTTCCAGCGAGTGTCTCTGTAGATCTAAGAAAACTATGTCTTGATTTAAGTCGTTGACGTGCTGCCTGATACCCAAACAGGGGATGAGCTGGAGATGTCTCTGCCTTGGTCCTTTCACTATTGGCTGCTACTTCCTGGCGGATGTCAGGTGGTGCAATACCAGCTAAGCAGTGTAATTTCTCCAGTGGTGTGGGGCGCAGACACCCCGTGATAATGCGGCATGTCTCATTAAGAGCCACATCCACTGTTTTAGTGTGATGAGATGTGTTCCACACTGGGCATGCATACTCAGCAGCAGAGTAGCATAGCGCAAGGGCAGATGTCTTCACTGTGTCTGGTTGTGATCCCCAGGTTGTGCCAGTCAGCTTTCGTATGATGTTGTTTCTAGCGCCCACTTTTTGCTTGATGTTCAGGCAGTGCTTCTTGTAGGTCAGAGCACGGTCCAAAGTGACTCCCAGGTATTTGGGTGCGCTGCAATGCTCCAGTGGGATTCCTTCCCAGGTAATCCTCAGAGCTCGGGATGCTTGTCTGTTCTTAAGGTGAAAGGCGCATGTCTGTGTTTTAGATGGATTAGGGATCAGCTGGTTTTCCCTGTAATAGGCAGTAAGAGCACCTAGAGCTTCGGAGAGCTTCTGTTCTACCATCTCAAAGCTCCCTGCTTGAGCAGTAATGGCACGATCATCAGCATAGATGAAACTCTCTGTCCCTTCTGGCAGTGGCTGGTCATTTGTGTAGATGTTGAACATGGATGGAGCAAGCACGCTCCCCTGAGGCAGGCCGTTCTTCTGTTTCCGCCATCTGCTTCTCTGGCCCTGGAACTCAGCAAAAAAGCTCCTGTTTTGTAGCATGTTTCCTATGAGGCGGGTGAGGTGGTAGTCCTTTGTGGTAGTCCTCAGGAGGAGGCGGTGGTTCACAGTATCATAGGCTGCTGACAAGTCTATGAAGACAGCTCCTGTGATCTGCTGCCTTTCAAAGCCATCTTCTATGTGCTGGGTCAGGTTCAGCACTTGCGATGTGCAGCTTTTGCCTTTTCTGAAGCCAGCTTGCTGTGGGATCAGACAGGGGTCTATATTTTCCATAATTCTATGCAAAATAAGTCTCTCCAGAACTTTGTAGAGGTGGCACAACAGGGAGATGGTCTGTAGCTTTTTGGGTCATTACGGTCTTTGCCTGGCTTCAAGATGGCGATGACTCTTGCTTTCCTCCAGATTTTGGGGATCTGACAGGATGCAGTGCAGTTGTTCATCAGCTCCAGCAGCCAGCGCCTTGCTTTTGGACCAAAGTTCTTGATTTGTTCCATCCGTAGATCATCCAAGCCAGCTGCTTTGCCATTCTTACATTTGTTGAGAGCTTTGTCCAATTCAGTAGATGTAAAGGGTTCATGAAGGTTGTTGTTCTCAATCTCTGGTTGTCTGGCTATTGGTTTCTTTCCTACTTTGGTGGCAAGGTTGGGTTTCCCATTCTTCAAGAGTTGGTGTGCTATCTGATCTGCCTTTATGTTGGCATGGGTATTAGTTTGTGAGGGATCGTTGCTCAGCCGTCTCAGCAGCCTCCACGCCTTCTGGCTGCTCCTGCCCATGTCGACCTCTGTGATCAACTTGATCCACTGTTCTTTCTTGGCTTCAGAGATGGAGGACACAATGCTCTGCGCTGCCTGAAGAGTCTGCTCACTGAATGGGTCTTCGTTGTGGAGCCTGTAATAGTTTTCCAACAAGGCAGCTGTTTCAGGAGTAATGCCCTGGAGGTAGTGGGTTCTGCAGCCTCTCGGTATAGAGGCCCGTGAGCAGGTTTTCACTATTTCAATAAAATGTTCGTATTCCTCAGGGATTGGCGCGACCGATGTGATCATGTCGTCTAACATGTCTGAGAATTTAGTCCAATCTGCCTTTCTGAAGTTGAATCTTCGTTTAAATCGAACTTCCTGAGGCCTTATTGTTGGGAACAGTTGGCATACTATTGGTCGGTGCTGTGTGTTTGGGATTGGTGGTCCCACTGATTTGGTGCATTGCTGTACGATGCTGTCACTCACAAATAAGAGGTCTGGGTTATAACCTCGGTGCCATCTCAATATTAAGAAGAAAGTCCCCAACTGTCTTTAGAAGCCCATGCCTGTAACTATCTGCTTTCTTTGCAACCATCTGCAAAGGAAGGTGGATATATTACTTTCTTCTTTTGGAGATATAGAGCAGGGGTCCTCAAACTTTTTAAACAGAGCCCCCCCTCAAAATTTTGGGGGGCCGGATTATAATTTGAAAAACAACATGAATGAATTCATAAGCACACTGCACATATCTTATTTGTAGTGCAAAAAAACACCTGAAAGCATACAATAATTAAAATGAAGAACAATTTTAACAAATATAAACTTATTAGTATTTCAATTGGAAGTGTAGACCTGCTTTTGCCTGATGATATAGGATTGTTGTTGTTGTTGTGTGCTTTCAAGTCGTTTCAGACTTAGATTGACCCTGAGCGAGGACCGGGTAAATGACCTTGGAGGGCCGTATACGGCCCCCAGGCCTTAGTTTGAGGACCCCTGATATAGAGTGTTAGTGTATAAACACTGTATATACTCGAGTATAACCCGACCAGAATATAAGTCAAGGCACCTAATTTGCCCCCCCCCCCCAAAAAAAAAACCTGGAAAAACTTACTGACTCAAGTATAAGCTGAGGGTGGGAAATGCAGCAGCTACTGGTAAATTTCAAAATAAAAATAGATGCCAATAAAATTACATTAATTGGGGCATCAGTAGGTTAAAAGTTTTTGAATATTTACATAAATCTGTAATTTAAGATAAGACCGTCCAACTGCCCATAATTAAATCATTATTCTAACCTTCTTCATTGTAAATTTGCTTACATATCCTTCCAATAATCACCACAGTTTATTTTAGCTATACATTTTGGGGGAAATGTTGTCTGTATATGAATAGGGAAAAGTGGTAAAGACTGGTGCCAAGAAAAGAGGAGAGGAAGATGTCCGCTGCACCAAGAGAGGAGGGGAGGAAGGCGTGCACTGTGCAAGAAAGGAGGAGAGGAAGGAGAGCTTGGTTGCTGTGTGGAGAGATGAAGGTCCTGGCAGGAAGGCATGGGGCTGAAAGAAGTCCTCCTTTCAGCCCTACACCTTCCCGCCAGGACCCTCACCTGAGTATAAGGCGAAGGGGGCTTTTTCAGCCTTAAAAAAGGGCTGAAAAACTAGGCTTATACTCAAGTATATACATATTTACTTTTTAAAATGTGTTTAAGGCTTATCTTTAGTTTTTCAATCATGCTTTTAACTCGTTATGTTAGTGCATTTGTAGACAATTTTACTCCTGTTGAGAAGATCAGTGAATGAATAATGATAAATAAACTTTATTTTTTAAAATGTAGGCAAAGAAAACAATTTATTCCCATCTCAGTACACTGGCTGATTTTTCAATAGAAATGTTTGATGTTCTTGATGAAATCAACTACCAGTCTTACAATGATTTTGTTCTTCGGGTTGGTAAGTTACCTTTTCAATAGTCAGAACTTGGAACGTCAACTGACAAAGTAAACTGATTGTATTACATCTTTGAAAGTATTTCTTGTTCTCTATAATAATATTTATAAGTGTCAGAGTAAATATGTGAGATTGCCATTAATTAACTAATTACATAAAATCTTAGGTTTCAGAACAGGCCATGAATTTTTACTGAGAAGTAAATGAAATCTGCCACCAGTGATACTCCCTCTCCTCTATCTGCTGCTTCTGCTTCTTCTTTTTAACATTTTATTAAAAACAGAAAAAGTTAAAAGTGACTAGCAATATTCTCTGCAACAGTTATCAAAATCAGTCTATATTTCTTTCATCTATCACAATAAATTATCATTGCCCCTCCCATAACATATACTTATTAATATTCAAAATCATATACGTGTTTTCTGCAGAAAGTCAATACAAAATGATGTTTATTGATCAGCCAATTGGCCTTATCAAAATACAAAATATTAACACAATGTACAGTATACATCTCATCCAAATATATATATATATATATCACACACACACACACACACACATACATACATACACATACACACACACACAGAAAGAAAAAGTGGAGGTGTCCAGCTGGTAGGCAAATATACCTTAATCCTAAGTATGTACATCAGATGTCCTCATCCCCCTTACACTGTATGCCAATCTGATCAATATACTCTAATCTCCTTTTAGATGCTTTATAGAGATAAAAAGCAACTTTTGTTGTTAAGACGAGATTAGAACTACCTAGTAAAAATGTGGTTTTGGCTGATGAATCCATATTTTCTATAGTAAGTCAACAAAGAATCCATAGTCTTTATCAAATACTACTTCAATTAAATTTTACTAAACAAACTACCCTATCTTCCTAAGCTTTTCAGTTTACCATATTTAATTTAGTATAAAGAAGAATATTAAATATGCTGAAGCCATCTTCCAAGCTCTTTTTCAGCTGTTCCTCCCTGCCCTCTAAGGACTTTAGCGCATGTGCCTCCTAAAACAAGTTCTTCCATGGTAAACCCATCCTGGCTGAATTGGCCTACCTAGCTCCTCTTCTTCCTGCACAAATCCTCTTTGCAAACACTTTGACTTCGTTGACTTATCATATAAGCATGTATGTGACTTCACCCCAACTGTGCTGTCCCCATCTTCATACATGCCTCCCCATGTATATGTGTGTATACACACACACACACACACTGTGTGATTTCGAGAGTTCATAGGTTCAAGATTAAACACGCCCTGAACTCTCCTATTTTCATAGTTTCAAAACTCCATCTTAAAATATTCGAAAAAATAAACACATCGTAATTTAAATACTTTTGGTATTGTATTTATTTGGCAACTGGGAGATGTACTTAAAAGTATTTTTTTTCTTTTTTAATGAGGCAAAAGCATGCACAAGTGGAAAGTTCTGAAAAATGAAATGTTCAATTAACAGAGGAAATTGTTGCAGGCAAGGGTAATTGCAATTCCTTTGTTTAAATTAAAAAGAAAAAGAAAAAAATGAAGTAATTGGGGTGATCAGGGGAAGAAAGTGTTGCTTTTCTTTTGTAGCTGAAAAGGAATCAGATTGTCAGGAGGAGAAAAGATTGTTTTGCCTTTTTAGCTGAGAGGGACAGAGATTGGACAAGTGGAGGAAGAAAGAGTTCTTTTTCCTTTCAAGTGAAGGAGAGCAATCAGACAGGTGGGGAGTGCAGGAGAGAAAGGGTTACGTTTTTCCTTTGCAGCCTAGAAGGACAGTCCATAATGGAGGTCACACCACCCAAAAACAGGCGGTTAAATTGGATTTCTCTCATCACATTGTAACATGTGCTTTCTAAAGCTGATAGTGAAGACAAAAGATGGGGAAAGAGAGGGACATTGTTTTCATTAAATACAACTTTGATGAACTTGAAACTTGATTTGTGTCAAAATTAAAACATTGTCATTGTTTTAATTTGTATGTTAGGAGCCTCCAACGTGGCAAATGTTTTGATGTCCTAACTCTTTTCTAGTTGTATCTCCCAACCACCCACATAAAGAAGTTTAAATTCTGCTTTGTCTTTAAAACAAATCTCAACCTCCTTAAAATACTTCCATCTCATAGTAATATCTCTTCCAGTTATCTAACCATCCAACAAATATGCAAAACCTCTAATATGACTGCTGACTAGGATTGTTTACAGTTAGGTTGGGGAAGGCTATACAAAAGCATGGGATCTCATTTTACAACCTATTCACTTAAGTTTTGTCATTGTTCTGCGTCTTTTTATTTCAATTCACACTTGCCAACATGTGCTATTGACACACTCTTCAACATTTATTGGTTTGCCATAACTGGGGTAGAACTTTTCCATATATTGTTCAATAATGAGTCAACATATAGGTTAGACTAGATGGGAATTGCTAGTAGAATGCTTGAGAGCGATGGGTGTACTCTACTTAGAAAGTTAGTAAGAAATATTGTTCTTGTTTCAGCTAGACTACATGGATCCATTGCAAATGCAGCAACAAATTATTACAATTGGCCCTCCACTTCTGCTGGGATTAGAGGACTGAAACCCGATGAAAGTGGAAAAAATGCAAATACTATAAAGTGAGGGGGGGGCTGGTTTGCATGAAGAATCTGCATCTGGCTACTGGGAACCCTGGGAATTGACCTTCTCCCAAACCTTGGGTCCATGTAGATTCACACAGCAGCACCATTCCCAGGAGGTTGGGGTGGGGGGCAAGGGATCACTGTGAGAAGGGGTTGCCCTGTGAGGCCTGTCCTCAGGAAGTGGGGAATGAGGAATCTCTTCTACCACTGAACCCACCTCATACAGCAGCAGCAGTGATGACTCACCTTTCACTCCCTTACTGAGGATGAGGCTGCTGCATGAATGTTCACAGGACAACTCCATCTACACATGTTATGTGGGTGCAATAACAACTGTGATAATGTGCCCCTCACCCCTCTCCAGAGGCTGGGGCCTTATGTGAATGTGGACACACACTTGGCATGAGTGGTGTTCTTGACAGGACAAGAGAGAGGGAGGGAGATGGATGTTAGTTAATTAGCAGTTTCTGCTACTTAATTAGCAGTTAAGTAGCAGAAATAATCTAACCCTTGAATGTAAAACCTATTAATGTGGAGGGCCAATTCTATCTCTAGATTTCACTTATTGAATCAAAGATAGAAAAGTCATAATAATATTTGTCTTTGTCTATCTCCCCACTCCAACTATTGTATGGAGAAAATTGATTGGATGATTAATTGATTGATTTCAAACTTGGAACTCATTTACGTATTGATATGAATAACCTATATGGCAGTGGTTCTCAACCTGTGGGTCCCCAGATGTTTTGGCCTTCAACTCCCAGAAATCCTAACAGCTGGTAAACTGTATTGTCGAAGGCTTTCATGGCCGGAATCACTGGGTTGTAGGTTTTTTCGGGCTATATGGCCATGGTCTAGAGGCTGGTAAACTGTCTGGTATTTCTGGGAGTTGAAGGCCAAAACATCTGGGGACTCACAGGTTGAGAACCACAGCTATATGCAAACCCTGGTTTCAGCTGAGCAAGTTTAAGTGACTTTTGTGCATACTCTTTCAATCTTTCTCACCTGCATACAAATATGCACATATGGAGCACTAAATCGTGAAGATTAAATAAGATAAAGGTACCTTGTACTCTGTCATCAGCCCTTAGAATTAGTGTGATGAAGAAATCTAAATAAGTCAATAAAAATGAATACATTTTTATAAACCAGTTTAATGCATTTTATAAATCTGGTTAATTCATTTTATCATCTGTTATGCTCTTTATAAGGGTTACTGTTCAAATGGAAGAAAAGGTAAATACATTTATGGTTTCTTTCACTGTTTCAGGAATTAACGTAGGCCCTGTAGTGGCAGGCGTTATTGGTGCCAGAAGACCACAATATGATATTTGGGGTAACACTGTTAATGTTGCTAGTAGAATGGATAGTACGGGAGTGCAAGGTAAAATTCAGGTAAGTGCTTTTATAACTAAATCAGTCCTGATGAAATATACAAAAAATGTCTTGCTTTACAAGCTACCCCAAAAGTTAAATCTACCCTACTTTTGTCCAGGGATGGGCAAAGTGTGGCCCACAGTCTGTGTGCATTTTCCCCCCACCCCACATGATTTCTCACACTTGTCCTGTCCTTTTCCACACACCAGATGTTTTGCAGCTAAATGGCCCATTGTGCCTTCTATGGGGCACAGCTGGCTATTCTGCACTATTTTTTGCCTTCTAGACTTGTCATAGTCCAGAGTGTGTGTTTTTTTCAACATCACAAATTGACAGCATTTTTCTTTGGCACATGTGGCAGCCATTCACTTACCTCAACCATTTCTAAAAGCAATTATTTCACCAGTACAGATGGTCCTTCTGCACAGAGTATAGCTGTTTTATGCTATTCTTGTGTTGACAGTTATTGTGACCAGTTCATCACCTACTAACCATCCCTCTGAGGATGAGCCTTTATATATGCAGACTGTCCCTCAAACAGCATTACGTGTGATCTGTCCCTAGGGTCATTCGTGACTGTATCTCTCTCCATGAACCAACCCGGGCCCTTCAATCCTCAGGGGAGGCCCTCCTTTCGCCCCTGCCAGTCTCACAAGCCCGTCTTGTGGGCACAAGGGAGAGAGCCTTCTCCTCTGTGGGTCCTCGACTCTGGAACTCATTACCTGGAGAGATCAGGAAAGCCCCTACACTAGAAACCTTTAAAAATAACCTTAAAACCTGGCTCTTCCGCTGCGCCTTTGGCGAGTAGGTGCACAACATGACACTACTGTTCCCCTCAACGCTTTTGTCACTGCAGTACACGCACCCCCTAATGAGAAGTTTAGTTTTACAACCCTGCGCTTCTTTATGAGCTCCCTCCAAATAACTATTCTTATCTCATTCGAGTTTTTAACATTTTATCCCGTACATGTGGCCTGCCCATTGTCTCTGCAATTGTGTTTATTGTAATGTTATTTTGTTACTGTATTCATATGGGTTTTTTTCTTATATACTTTTGATGCTGTTGCTTGTTGCTTATGTTTTGGTTTTATTTTTGCTGTAATATGTTTTCCGGGCTTGGCCCCATGTAAGTGGCTCCAAGTCCCCGTTCGGGAGATGGTGGAGGGGTATAAATAAAGATTATTATTATTATTATTATTATTATTATTATTATTATTATTATTATATGTGAAGACGTCCTCTTGGTAGGATCTTCGTCTGGCATAACCAGCATAACCTCCATGCCACAATGAGCTGATAGAGTAGGAGTTTCTGCAATTGGTATTCACTTGTATCATATAAAATACAGGAATGGGCTTAGGAATACAACTGGTGTACAACATAAACAGGCTTCAATGTACATGGTAATCCAATCCTGCTCCTCTTTGCATAGCTTCTACTCTTCTCCATCAGCATAGCCTATTGTTGTGCTTAATTCTAATGAAATTGTTTTGCAAAGCATACAGTTTTTCTCCTGTAAAAAAATCAACAGTTTTTAATAATATGCTAGTAAGAACAGTAATAAAAATAAAATACTTACATAACTTGTACAACTAACAGGATCAGTGAAAGACCTCTCCATTAAAATGTTGAAAAATGATATTAGAAGGCAAAAGAAATAAAGTAAGAACACTTTGCAAGTAATATTATTTATTTATTTATTTATTTACAGCTTTTATATTCCGCTCTTCTCACCCCGCAGGGGACTCAGGGCGGATTACAGTGTACACATATATGGCAAACATTCAATGCCAATTTTTGACATACAAACATATACAGACATACACAGCCGCTAGGGGAGCTGTCACTTTCATTGTCCATCTGCGACGCTGATGAAGCACTTCCGCATTCCCCGCATGCTTCCCCGCTGGAATGCTTTGCTGGAGTCTTCTTTATGGCCTCATAAATCAGTTAATTTAGCCTCCCCACACTTTTAAGGTGGTACCTAATTTTCCTACTTGACAGATGCAACTGCCTTTCAGGTTGCAAAGGTCGACAACAGGCTACACGCAATTGGTTGGAAACCCACTCCAACCCGGGCTGGCTTCGAACTCATGACCTTTTGGTCAGAGTGATCTTAATGCAGCTGACACTCAGCCAGCTGCGCCACAATCCCGGTAATATATTACTAAGGGCTTGAAATAGATTTTGCCTTGTGTTTGAAGGGAGAAGGGACAAAACAGTTCCTAAGGAAATCTCATAGTTGGGGCCCAACCACAAAAACACATTTTTCTGTAATACCTATCAATCTGAGGGAATGTTGGTAAAGGCTTCTAGGGTATAAGATAAATTTGTCATATGGTTTTACTTTAATACCTCACCAGTGATATTTTACCTACAGGTTACTGAAGAAGTCCAGCGGATATTGAAGTGCAGTTATGAGTTTGCATGTCGGGGTAAGGTCAGTGTCAAAGGCAAAGGTGAAATGCTGACCTATTTTCTTGAAGGAAAGGTCAATGGAACTAATTCACAATTACGATCTTTAAACTTAGAAAGGAAAATGTATCCTTATGGGAGATCGAACATTCACACCAAACTGGGCACAAGTTGTCCTTCTGTGTCCTCGTCTCCCAGCCTTTCAGCAAATGCTGGGGCTGGAATGCTTCAGCTGCCTTCAGCCCACACGAATCAGACACTCCATTATCTTCCTTCTGTGCCAGCCATCAAGGAGGCCTGAGAGCAATGAAAAGATTGCCGATGCCATTTGCAATGAACTTGAATCACAGAGGTCACCTGGCTTTTTTTTTACCAAGAAGCTTAAGGCTGCAGGTTTGGGGGTAAACCAAGATGTCTACAACCCAACCAAAGAGAATTTGGGAACTATTTACCTGAATTTCTAGAATGAATCAAATAAGGGCTAGCAATTCTATTAGGAAGAGTTTATTGCTGAAAATACGAATATTTTGTCAGCAACCTTAACAGTAAATTGGATAGCTGACATGATGCAAGTGAGACTGAATATTTGCATATATATTTGTGTATGTGTGCACACATGTGCATCTCAGCATGTGTGTGGCAGACATTGCCAATATTGATGATTGAATTTTGACAACCCTTGTATTGGCAACTGAAAAATATTGTATTTATTGAAAAATATTGGCAATTTTAATTTCTGACAAACAGTGGCATATTACATACAAATGACATACACATATGTAAACACATACTAAGAGAGACACACATAGATACAAAAATATGCATCCTGTAGTAGCAAAGAGAAGGTGGTTTTATTTCATATCCAGCAAAATTATATCAAACACTTTTTAAAGCTGCTATATGGTGACAGGTAAACAACACATATCTGAAGTTGTAGCAACTGCTGTGGAGTCATGTCAGTGTATGAAATAGCAAAGGCACAAGTAAACAGATGTAACTTTCAGAATGAATTTCCCATATCTTTGAGTGGTTTCCAACTATATAGTGATGGACCAGCTACCAGAGCTAGATTTACTAAAGATCCCACAATTGAATCAACTAATCAGAGTACTTAGTACAGTCCCATATCCTTTTAGCTGGGTAAGTTGCATCTCTGTCACACATAGAGAAGAGCTTTTAAACTGCCTAGACTGATACTTATAAACACATTACATCTTCAAGATAAGTCTAAAATATCTTTGATAGTGTGCCACGCATGTGCATGCAAAGAAAATACATGTGTACCTCAATTGATGAAGTATACGTATTCCTGGACATTACGTCTTTAACATAAATAATGTGGGAAGAAGTAGTGGTGACAAAAAAGAGCAAATCAACATATTTCAGCAAGCTTTTTATAAAAACAATGTGTACATGTAAGTGAGACAACCTGATCTTGTACGCCTTCTATAAGCAAAACAAGCAAACAAAACCAAAACAAAACCACACGCCACATTTTGAACCTTCTGGAGACCACTTGAAGGCTGTTTCCAAAATCCATCCAGGGATAGTTTCTTTCAGCAACTTCCACTTTTCTTATGATTTCCATTTTGGCTAAACTTACAGATCTGTATGTTATGCCTAAATGAAAACCTTTAAGCCAACCTCACCAGCTAGGGATAGGAAGTAGCTGGTGAGATACACTTATCTGATCTCCTCTTTCTTCTCTGTTTTGCACTTCATTTGTGCCCAATTAAGGGACTCTGGAAGCAACTGCTGTTTATCTTGCCTGCTGTGGTGGGCAGATTGAAATGACTTTAGTAGGATTGGCTAGAATAGACTCCTATTTTTCCCTAGCCGAAACTTTATCACATTGTTTACTGTAAACAAACTGCTGCAATTCGGCACTAAATGCCTATATTCTTTCGTTTTCTTTCACCATCCTCCTAGTGCCAATCTTCCAAAAAAAAAAAACCCTCTTCAAACTAGAAATATGATGAGGAGGAAAATGATGACTAGGTGGGCATAAAAAGGCTTTGTAAAAAAAAAGGAACTTCACTGTTAGAGGCTTTTTAAGCTGAGAACCCATCTACACTGCCAGAAAATGTAGTGTAGATGTCACATTAGCCTGGGGCATCCAAACAATGCATCCATGCTAATGTAAGCAACCTGGGGTAAACTTAAAAATGCTGCTTATAATCTGATTTAAAAAATTCTATAAAGATCTGAGTCTTCCATTCACGATCCCAAGTGATGCCCTTACAGATATCCAGCATCCCCTAAGCTCAGGCTGCCTGTGGAGGTGGGATGGCAGTGCCCCTCCCCAAACAAAAAGGAAAGGCCTCCTTACTGTTCCTGGAGGTTGTCTATTTTCTTCTTTGCCCTCAGAGCTTTTTGTAGCCATACATGGGTGCAAAAACCTGCCTTTGAAGAAGGGAGGGAAGACTTCCTCTTCTCTCATATCCTCTCTTCTCTTTTCTCCTCTTCTCTCCAAAGGTGGGATTTTGCACCCACATGTGGCCACAAAATGTGTCACAATTGTATTTTTAATGCTGGTTCATTCCATATTTTGTCATATATGGAAGCGCACCAAGGTATGTCTTGTATTTAGACATGGAGAAGCATGTGTTTTCAACAAATTAAATTCTTGGCCCATCCTACAGACCTTTATTGAAAGGTTTTGAATGTTTCCCAACTATACAGACGTTGTTCTGTGCCATGAATAGTTGTGCTCACAAGGGACACACAAAGTTCCTTGTCCTAGCAAATGGAAGGCAATATGCAAGTAAAATTAAGTGAAGCAGTGTAATAGGGTGATTAAAGCCTTCTCCAGAACATGCCAAAGGCTTTTTGTCCAAGCAAAAACCTGTCCTATTCAGGAAATGGAATATCTGGATCTAGCTGATAGATGTAAGGTTTGCTCTTACATTTGAAGATTCTTATTGGCAAAAATGTATTGACCCATGTTTTTTAAGTTGAGAGTTATTACCTCACAGTTTACTAACATAGAACAATAAGATAGCAGTATTGCTATTTACACAATAGGACCTCCAGTATCGCTAATGGAAACAAACGTATTTATAAGATTGCAAATGACAGCTAGTCAAAATTGTTCTGAATGTGTTTATATATTTGTGTATGTATGAATGAGAGAGAGAGAGAGAGAGAGAGCATGTGCATGTGCATGCTCTCTCATTGTGTGATTTGTCAATGTAGTTTAGCATCCTCACTGTATCACCCCTTAAATGTCTCCACTGCAAATCTTGTTGATGTGAGCAATGGAGCAAAGCATTTCTTACCTTGCAGCTCATATTGCTGCCAGCAGGTTTTGTGGGTTGCCCATCTTACTGCTTGTCTTTCATTGTTATGAACATCTTGGACTCCAGTTAACTTGATTGTTGACTGTGGGGTCATCCCAATACCTTTTTCTGCATAATCATAATCCAACTTATTTTCCTCCAATTAGAATCCCATGTTACATGTTCACCATGCCAGTTAGGGAAACTCTGTGAGCAAAACTACTATTATTTCTTCCTTGCAAATCTTTTGCACTTGTACATTTATAAGGAAGAGTTGCCAGGTCCAGTTCTCAGTTCACACTCTAAAAGAAAGACACAATTTGTGCTCGAAAACCCTCATAATGATGGGCATTTGTAAATGTGCCTATTTTGAGGGGGATTATAGTCATAGAGGTGGGGAAAAAAGCTTCTATTCATTGCTGTGGATTTTGTTTTATGTGCACAACCTTAGGCTCAAGTGTAGACAAGGCCACGTCTACGCTATCTGATAACGCACTGTAGCTGTTGCATTAGCCTGGAGCATCCAAACAATGCATCCAAGCTCATGCAGTAAACCTTTTGGTGCAACTTGCACCTTAGTTTAAAAAAACACCTGAAGAGATTGATCAAGTTATATGGTCCTGCAGAATACCTAGTTCTGTCCTACAAAGCACATATGTAAATCACATTATGATTAACCATGTGAGAATGATTTCGTATGGGATCACGTGTAAGCTTTCTGTCTTAAAATCATGACCTTAAAAGAATCCTGTCATTATCACAGGACTGTTAATAGCAAGCACAAATTTCATGTCAACTTTGCACAATATTTTCTTTATAAAGTATTAGTAATAATTAAAAGTTTCACTGACTAATGGAACAGAAAAGGTATCGCATGTCTTTGGGGCAATTTATTCTAAATGTTCCCTAAGGGCATTTCCACACTGACAAATAATGCAGACTGAACTGATGGGCAAAATGTCAGTACCAAACCACATTGTGGTTTGACAGGAGCACCCTGAGACACCTCAGCAGCGAGAGGCTGTGCCAAAGCTGGTTTAATGCTGCTGGGCAGGGGGTTCAAATGTACCCACCTCTCCATTGTTGCCCCCTTCTCCCTTCTCTTAAGCTCCTTTGCCAGTCACATGGCATGGAAGGAGGAAGGAAGACTTCCCAGCAGCAGATAGCCCCCCCCCCCGCTGCCACTGTAGTCAGGGGCGGCTCAACCCATTATGCAAAGTAAGCATTTGCAGTATTGTTGATTTTGCCCAGGGGCGCTCTTGAGGTGCTCTTGGGGGAAAATAGACCTTGACATATGTGAGTTGTAGTTACTGGGATGTATAGTTCACCTACAATCAAAGAGCATTCTGAACTCCACCAATGATGGAATTGAACCAAATATGGCACACATAACTCCCATAATGAACAGAAAATATATATCAGTGATTGGTTCGGGGGGGGGGGGGCGCTAAAATACTTTAGCGCCCCCCCCCCCCGAACTAATCACTGATATATATTTTCTGTTCATTGTGGGAGTTATGTGTGCCATATTTGGTTCAATATTACCATTGGTTTCAATTTTACCGTTGAAAATTACCTAGGGCCGCCTGACTGTAGTTGGTAAAAACAAGGACAGAGAGGGTGAGAGGGAATAGCTATCCCTGGGCCACCTAATGCAGGAAGCATGGGGTGGCTGTCAGGCCACCCACCACTAGGTTCTATACAAGGACTGGCAATAGCTATCTGCACTGCCATTAAGCAATTTTCACTTGGTTAATCCAGATCAGGCCACTTACATTTTGTAGCTGCCCACAGGCTGATCTGATCCCACGTGGTCCAAAATGGGCAGGGTAGATGGACCCTAAGGTAAAGTTTTGTCTTTATTTTCTCTTATTTTGTGAATAGATGTTAAGTCGATTTTTTAATGCATCCTTAAAATAATTTCAGTGCTGGTCTTGCAAAGGATTAAGATTTTTTAAATATTAATTTTATTGAAAGAAAGAAAAACTAAAATGAGAAAACAAATAATAAAATTTTACATTTTTTTTAAAAAAAACCCTACTAATCTTGTTTCTCACTAATACTAATACAGTAAAACAACAAAAATTGCTACAAATGACAACACAAAAAACATTAAACATAAAAAGAGAAGATAAAACAAACCAATACACAGAGATACATAAAAATATTTAAACAAAAAGTAAACATAAAAACTAATCTATAGGTCTCTCTGTCTGATTTTTTTTAGTTCTAACTAGTCTGTCTCCTTTAAGAAATATTGTATAATCAACACTTCTACATTTAATAACATGCTACTAGCTCATAAGTCCCACAATTAATGAATCCTCCCAACATTGTTAGAACGTATTAAGCAATAAAGCCCAAATCTCTCTTGAAGTTCAACAAACATGTCTCCTCTATTATCCTAATCCACTTGTCCATTTCAATTAGTTCACAAATCTTCATCATCCATTATCATAAACTTTCAATTTCAGCCTTCCATTCAGACCTCCATCCTGAAACAGCCTATACAGGAGATCCCCCTTTTCTTCACTTCCCTTTCAATGTCTTGTCACGACATCTCTCTCAACACAGCTCAGTTACAAATCTGCCATCTTACAGACTTTTTTGTATTGTCTATGCAGATTTTTGTTTGGCCCCAAACTAAACCCATTGATAGCTCTTGTCAACCTCCTTGCTGAATCCTTTATATAAAACTTCCAGAGGAATTTTCTCCAATCTTACTTCTGAATTCTTAATTCTGATTTTACCAAATTCTGATTTGCCTGAATTGTCCCCCGTCCCCCCTCAATTCGCCTTTGCCAAAGTATTTCTTTCATTTCCTCTGTCCTTTTCTCATCAATCTCAGTTCACCCAAAATTTGGATTAGTCCAGATATTTATATTTATCATGTCAGGAGCAAACCAAACAGTTGTATTGCATTTTTAACAAATAAACAAACAAAACACAAAGTTTGCAAGCTTGGTAGCTGGAGATGTCACTGCCTTGGTCCTTTCACTATTGGCTGCTACGTCCCGGCGGACGTACAATACCAGCTAAACAGTGTAATTTCTCCAGTGCTGTAGGGCGATAATGCGGCATGTTTCATTAAGAGCCACATCTACTGTTTTAGCATGGTGAGATGTGTTCCACACTGGGCATGCATACTCAGCAGCAGAGTAGCCTAGCGCAAGGGCAGATGTCTTCACTGTGTCTGGTTGTGATCCCCAGGTTGTGCCAGTCAGCTTTCATATGATATTGTTTCTAGCGCCCACTTTTTGCTTGATATTCAGGCAGTGCTTCTTGTAGGTCAGAGCACAGTCCAGAGTGACTCCCAGGTATTTGGGTGTGCTGCAATGCTCCAGTGGGATTCCATCCCAGGTGATCCTCAGAGCTCGGGATGCTTGTCCGTTCTTAAGGTGAAAAGCACATGACTGTGTTTTAGATGGATTAGGGATCAGCTGGTTTTCCCTGTAATAGGCAGTAAGAGCACCTAGAGCTTCGGAGAGCTTCTGTACTACCATCTCAAAGCTCCCTGCTTTGATGATTCCAAATAATCTGCAAGTGATTTCATTTTAAATTTTTGAGTTATTTTCCCTGAACACAGAGTGGCAGTAGAGTATACTTTCTTTCTTGAATTGTTTTTAATTGCTTTTGCTAAGTTACTAGTTTTCCCCTAAAAGTGAAGTTCAAGTGTTCACTTCCTGTATGTTTGTCTCAGGAAATTTCCTTTCTTTTGGCTTTAAAAAAAAAACTTAATCCTTTGGTGTGTGTGTACTATTAGCTATTACAATTGAAAGCATGTTAGCTCTGTGGAGATTGCAATGGCTGTTTCTACAAGTTGCATTCATTTAACTCCAGGTAATATATTTAGATTACTCATGTCTCTGATAGTAGAAGTTAAGTGCAGATAGGAGTTAATTTTCCAACAGCCGGGAGTGAATCTCAAAAGGCAGGAATCTTCAAATTCTGCTTTTAAAATGAGAATTTCTTTTCACTGTCAATGACACGGCTGCCATGCTATAATGGATATTTTTTCTGTCCCTATCTCCTCTGGCTGCTGAGGCAAAAACAAGTGCCTTGGCAAGACATCAGAGGCAGAAACTGGGTTTTCACCAAAAAAAAATCTACACTTTTTCCTTGCCTGGAAGAATCCTGGTCCAAGATATCTCAGAACTGGTGATTATCCACTGATAGAGTCTTTTCCCTTCCAAGAGCTTATCTGGGAAGTCCACAGTTTGCCAGCCCTGTTCAGCATAAAGCAAAGAAAAAAATCAGGAAGTAGTGTTAAGCAGATCAGTTAACTCTCTGTGCAATTTGAATAGTTTTGTGGGCCTGGTCACACACTCTGCTACTCAAGGATCCTTTGCATGTAGTGGAATAGTAGGGAAACGCATCTCTCCCAAAATGTAGCTAAAGTAATGTAGGAGAAACGTGTGCCACATTTTGGCTCTCAACACAGAGAGCCAATAGGTGTGTTTCTTGTTTGTTCAGCTTTTATTGCAAAAGTTGTGCCTCCCTGCTGAACACTCACATCTTACTTCGTATCTATGAGATGGGAAGCTGTACACATTTATGCGGAGCAAAACACCCAATGAAAAATGTTGAGTTGTGTGCAGCCTTCATTATTTATTATTGTTTAGCCATAGGCTATTATAACTTGTATAAAAAATAAGGGGCATATGTTGTGGAACATGTACTACATACATAAAAAGCCTAATATGGCCACATGATGGCCACCATAAAAGTTAACAAAAACATGAACAAGTATACAACCTTTCAAAACAATGATAAAGTATTAGTAAATGTGACTTATTCAAAGGCCTACAGTTTACTGTATAATGGCAAACTTAAATGAATATTGGGGACAAGGATTTAACCATATGCATTTTGCAATCCCATAAATAGGATTCTCTTTTTATGCATTGTCTCTAGGACACAATGTAAGAGTCCAATCTAAATATCTATCATACATTCAGATGCTAGATCAGTGATGGGCAACCTTTTGAGCGTGGTGTGTCAAAATTCACCAAAAAACCAAGCATAATTCAGGTGGTGTGTCACTTCTTCCTCCCGTCCCCAGAGGTACCTCTCCTGTCCCTGCTTTGCAAATCCTCCTCCTCCTCCTCCTGATGCCTCTTCCTCCCATCCTCCTTTTCCTTGCCCTGTCTCCCCCTCCTCTGCCTCTGTCGAAGCAGTGGCAGACCGATGGGCGCGTGTCAGTAGAAATGGCTACGTGTGTCAATACTGACACATGTGTCATAGGTTCGCCATCACGGTGCTAGATTCTATATAGTGTAAGGATCAATTCAGACAAGGCTGTAATTGCATGGAACATATATGCAGTGGAGTAAGATCAGTTACCTGTTCTGCCTCTATTGAATGTGCCTACGCTGTCTTCAGATCTCATTTTTCAT